AAAAAAAAAAAAAAAAACAGCCAAAATGAAGGAACAAAAAATATAATAACATACGCAGAAAGGAAGGAAAATACAACTCTACAAGTGCACACACTCGAGGTTGCAATGGAGCAGAGTTCTCCCCGTCCGACGCCGAAGTGGAGCAAAATACAGCTCAGTAAAACATTCACGTATGCGGAAGTTCACTCACTCTGCCGTACATTGCAACACTCAATTTCCGTTCTGTTGCAAACGGCCACCTTTCCGTTTGTCTATACTTATGCAACATGCATGTGTGTGTTTACGCGTGTTGCCTCTCCATGTACATCAGCGATTTTTTTTTTTTTTTTTCTGTTCATTTTTTTTTTCTTCTTTTATTACGTCTTCTTTTTAAGTTTTTTTTTTGCCCCGCTTCATGTTATTCACCCACTTTGAAAAAGGCAGATTAATCGGGCTGCAATTTCCTTTTGTACGAGGTGCCCTTATCAGCGCGTTGGCCTTCACGCGGGTAGCGAAATGGACGTAGTCTGATACGTCGTTTTGCACATAGGGGAAAAAAAAAAAAAAAAAATTTGAAGTTACCCCTTGGGGCTACGGTGCGAGTTGTTTTAAAATGCGCATGGAAGGGAAAGTCCAACCTCATGCGTATTGCTTTTGTTCCTCCTATTTCACATATTTCTTCCATTCGAGCACGAATGTACTACACCACGTTGGCATATATGTGCAATGTTCCCCTCGTTCGCTTTGCACTTGCATGCAGGTACTTTCCCATCGCAGCTCCCGCTGTACCTGGAACGCTGTACACAAAAGATGCTTCACAAACGCATTCATGACCCTGTCGCCATGTTTATTCTCATATATGTGCCACGTTAGTTACTCTACGACGCCCTATATCTCAAGAGACGCTTTCCAAAAAAAATTTTGGAGCCTTCCCGACAGCGCATCGTTTTCGCCAGGAACAAATTGGCTGGAGCCGCTTTAAAAGTAAAATGGCATTTATGCGTTTAACAAAGTTTTGCACATGCAGGTGTAGGCCTAAGTTGTGGTGTAAAAGGGCGACATATGAAAATGGATGATACGCAGATAAAAGTACGCGCAAAAATGTGTACACATGGAGCTATACATTTATAAACTTAAAAAGAACGTGTGTCTAAAACAACACACATACATAAATTCTTGTGTATAATATTTCGAAATGCAACGCAGCTTTTTTCCTGGCAAGTGTACAAAAATGAGTGTGCTTTGTTTGAAAAAATGGCATGTGGCGCGAGCGTTGTTATGGGGGCAAGAGCTTCTTCACATTTTGCGGCATCTTTCGCTATATATATAGGATTGCACATTTTGGCAATTTATAATCCCCCCTTTTTCATCCCTGCTGAACTTGAGTTGCGCAGGATGACTGCTCAATAACTCCAGTACAAAAAAAATATATACATGGGTGTATATATGCTTTTAAAAAACTTGGTGGGGGTAAAAAACACACGTGTACGCACAGGCGCACACGAACCTATATATATATATATATATATATATACAACACGTATGCCTACATATATAATATGTGCATGCCTGTGCTCTGTGGGACAATTTGCAGTGCCACAAGCAGACATGCCGCTCTTTAAAAGTGTAAAAATGTTATCTCTTCACTTGGGGAAACATTCCCTACCGGGGACGGACCAGGGGGCCACGCCTGCGCTACATGTTTTTTTGGATGTCACCAGGAAGGCGTAAGGAATATGTGCATTCTAGCGTGTGCACAGGGGACCGTTGCATGCACGCGAAGGACAAACCACCAATTTAAGTCAGTCTTCTCGCTTGATGTTTTCTTCCTCCTCGTTCTTCTTCTTGTCCTTCTCCTCCTTATCTTCCTTCTTATCTTCCTTTTTCTCTTCCTTTTTCTCTTCCTTTTTCTCTTCCTTTTTCTCTTCTTTCTTGTCTTCCTTCTTGTCTTCCTTTTTCTCTTCTTTCTTATCTTCTTTCTTTTCTTCCTTTTTCTCTTCCTTCTTTTCATCCTTTTTCTCCTCCTTTTTCTCTTCCTTCTTTTCTTCCTTCTTATCTTCCTTCTTTTCATCCTTCTTCTCTTCCTTTTTCTCGTCCTTCTTCTCGTCCTTCTTCTCCTCCTTCTTATCTTCCTTTTCCTCCGCTACCTTAGCCTTGAGCTGCCCGCTATCATCGAGAAGCTTCAAATTCACCTGGCCAGCCTCATCAAACTTCTGCTTGAACAGCTTGGCCGCCTCTGCAGTGTTGAATTTTAAGGCAAACTGCTCAATTTTGGGTTCCTCTGCAAAATCTTTAACTGTCCACGCGTAAATCTTTTCACTCCCTGCGTTGGGCACGAGTTTGCAGTAGGACTTATTGGGGTAGATGTAATGATTTGCCACAACCTTTAGTGTTTTCTCCTGTCTTAACAGAAACCTGATGATTCCTTTCTTCTTGTGTAACAATAGTTTTGATTCTCCTAGTCCTCGTTCTTTCCATTCGCCGTCTACCCACCTGTACAATTTGGACCTTCCGGACCAAAACAGGCTTTCATCTTCTTCCCCCGTTTTTATCTCCACTTCCTTCAGTTCGATCTGCACAAGAGAGAGAAAAAAAAAAAAAAAAAAAGGATGTGAACATGGTGCCCCACATATGGGGAAAATATACATGCACAGAGAAATGGTCTCTTCTAGAAGTATAAACAGGGATGAATAAATGACACGGCAAGGGAAGCATAAGGGATGACCACAAAAAAAACAAAAAAAAAAAAAAAAAAAACCAAGATGCGCGCAGTACATGGGGTCTCCCTGCAACCATACACGTGCGCTTCAAAAATTAGTGAGACGTATACAGAGTAGTGGCAACCGCATAGACCACCATAAAAACCTACTTCCCTCACATGCCGCTATGCAGAAGCAAACAAGAGGGTGTATGTTCTTAATTGGCCCACTTGCGCTTTCATCTATGGTATGGTCCACTGCACAAATATACGCTTCGTTTTTTGTTTCTTTTTTTTTTTTTTTTTTCCTTTGCTACCTTGGGGGTGTTCCAGTTTCCAGTTGTGACTTCCTCCTCGGGATTGTAATCGTTCTTGTCATCTTCCATGATTGAAGAACAGGGCTTCGCGTGATTAACAAAATAGGTAACAGGGGATTTTGAGAGAGGCAGCTTAAAAAAGAATGGCCAACAGTTTGCGTTCACAACACGAAGTGATCCTGTATATGATCTATGAGGTTTTACAATGTATGTACCATAAACTTGTAAGTACTTTTTTAAGTAGGGACAATGCAAGAACGAATCAGGCAAGTAGTTTGCTTATTGTATAAATGCGTGAAGTGGGGGATATAAGAATAATGCTCTCTCAAACACGCAATTTTTTCTTTGTATTTTTTTTTTTTTTGTTTTTTTTTTTTGGTGCTTACTTTTTAAACTACGCGGTAGAGGGATGGGCACGGGGGCTGATGATTTGAATACGACAAAGTAATGTGGGCAAGGAACTTGGCTGAACAAACCAAAGGCGCGATGAGCTGGCACGTCGAGCTAGGCTCTCCTGTGGAGTCATGTTGTGTACGAACCCAACAGGAGCACGCGAAGTATGTAGCAGTGCGCGTATGCACGTACCACATATAGCCTATTTTTTAAGCGCAAAAAAAAGAAAAAGGGATGGTATGCACCATGGGCAAATACATGTGGCAAGATGCGGCGATGATGAATGCTGGGCCTTCTTGAAAAATGCTTCTTCCTTTTTGCAGTTTATTTATTTGTATTATTTTTTTTTTTTTTTGTGGCTGTATTTTTTTGAATTGTTTTTTATTTGCTAATATTTTCAAATACCCAAATTGTGAAAATGGTAAGCGGAGAAAATGTATTCCGCTTCTACTCGTAACAACATGGCGCAACTTTTGACACCTGCCCAGGCTAATTATTTTTTTGGGGTATACAGAAGGCTCTCCCAAGTGAACACGCACAAATATATATGCATACATATACATATATATGTGGATATATATATACATATGCATGCGTGTACATATATCATTTTGGGCGATGATTCCTGGTAGGGATCACGCCATGGGCTACATACATGTACCTCTGCACATGTACAAGGTACGTTATACGTGTGCATATACATATTAACGTATACCTTATTACACGTGTGCACATCCAGCTACGCAACACGAGTTCTTTTCAGGGCTTGCTGCGACACGCCCCAAATGGAAACAAAAAAAAAAAAAGCAACCGGCTGTCAACCAGGAAGCCGTCGCGTATGCGTGTATATTACCCACGTATAGGTGCGCTCATGAATGTATGCGACGTGTGGCATCTGAATGTATGCACCCACACGTATGGCCCTTTCAAGTAGGATGTATATATATATTATCCACCCATAGTGGTACCAAAAAAAATTCCCTACTTCCCTTGTTCCGCCCTCTGGCAAATCCCCTAGGGTGTTATTAACCCTTCCCCCATATGAAGAATGTAGAGGGGGCACGCTGTGTAACGCTCTCAGTTAAGACTAAGCGGGCAGAATAACTGAGCCACATTGACGCAGCCAATTTGTGGCCCTCTGATTCGGCATTACCCCATTTTATCTGTTCTTTTTTTTTGGGGGGGGTTTCTTTTTTTTTTCTCATGTTCCACTCCATCGATTGCTCAAAGGGGACACAAGGAACTTTCCCACATTTTTAATTTTTCCATTTTGGAGAAAAGGCTTCTCTGTTTCGTTCACCTGGTTCACTTGGTTCTTTTTCGCAGCTCTGGCCGCAGCACGGTGTAGGGGGTACGAAACCATCGTGCATGTGTAACTGCACGTTAGAGGCATGCTGCTACATTTTTTACGCCTGTTAATTTGCAATAGATCCACGGCTACTCCATTGTTACTCCCCACTCAAATCAGCCCCACTACACGGTTTATGTGTGCATGTCAAGAGCCACATAAACGAATGCATCACAGTCTGTATGGTCACGAAATAAAATGGGGAATTCCGAACTGGTAGGCAGTACGCGTGTGTGTGTATATATATAAAGTGTCCTTGCACATTAGTAGGATGAGGAGAACAGGCTTTCTTCCAACATGCTATTTTCCGCCTCATTTTTATACTTCATATATTTAGCAATTTATTGTACATCCCCGTACCTTGAATTTGTTAAAAAGGGGATATTTTTTAATGGTAAAAATAGGATGGAAACGCTTTCTTTATTATCTCAGCAGTGGGTAGTACGCACTGCTCGCGTTCTACCGTTTGGCGTTTTTAATTTCCTTTTGTTCCCCTTCCTCTTCAACATGAACAAGTGCATGTGAACGGGCAGATTCCCATCGATCATCGCGCTAAAGGAGCAACCCTTTTTTATGGCGCAAAAATAGGCGCGCACATAAAGATAAGTACATGTCCATTTGGAGGGGGTGCAATTATATGGCTAGTTCTCTCGCGCTACACCACAGTAAATGTGCCGCTCGAAAGTGATCGTTTTCCAGTAGAACAAAGCTTATTTTGAATCACTCAGTCTGGTGAGAGAACTGTTCTCATGCGTGCCACCACACCGTATCAATTGTCACGAAAGTTTATGCGCAATGAGTAAGTATTTATATGTGCACATGTGAGCGCGTTGGCGATGCCAATGGCGCAAAAATAAGACGAAATGTTTAAATCATCTCTTAGCAAATGCATATTTTTACCTCCTTCACGTAGGCGTTGGGGGGGGGGAAAAAAGAGGGGTGTCACACCCGTGTTATGATACGATAACATGTTTTGCCACACTTTGTTGGTAGTTTTTACTTTTGCTCATTACAGCTTGGCGGGAATTTTATCAGCCAGCCGTCCATTCTTTCATTTTGTTTTCTCCTTCCGTACATTTATTTGCTCCTTCCTCTGTGTCCTTCCATTTTGCATATTCCAATTTGCAATCCTTTATGCGTCATGAAAGGGGCTAGCTAGAAGATTTTTTTTTTTTTTTTTTTTTTTTTTTTATCTCAAATTTACCTGACTGGTCAGCTGCTAACAACTTGTTTTTCTAGCTAACCAATTTGTAACTTTTTTTTTTTTTTGTTTACACATTTTCCCATTTCACCTGAACCAGCACGTGAAACATGAACACTAAAAATAGGGATTTTGAAGAGATAAATTTATGGGAAGATGACGATGTAAACGCATACAAAGACGATAAAAGCTCCAACACGTATAGCAAGAAGAGTGGCAGCAATGCGAAAAAGACGACGAAGAACGAAAGGTCGAATTTCACGTCAAATGAAGACAAGGACACCTTCCACGTGAAGGATCTTCCTAGGAGTAACAATAACGTGAATATATATTATGGCAATGAAGAAGACGTCAATGACGACGATGACATTTTTGGGAGTGGACAGAACACTTTCCTGAATAAGGATTTAACAACGGTTAATTTAAGTGACATGAAAAGGGGAGCAGCCCCCCCCCCAGGTGTAAGCAATTCAAATGGAATGGCCAATTTTGATGGCAGTCTCAGCGTAGCAGCATATAACGGATATGATCTAAACAACAACACGGGTAGCCCCGTTAACTTTTGGACTACCCAGGGTGTAGCTCATCAGAAGATAATCGGCGCGAAGGGAAGCGGAAATCGAAGCTACCACAGCAAAAACAACGACATGTACCAGCAGGGCGCCCCCCTCGAACAAAAATTCAATGCTGGACAAGTGCACGAAATGAACTTGAGAAACATCCCGAGTGGAAAAATGAACATAATTAATCTAAGCGACAACGAAAATGACGACGATTTGGGGGTTGAAACGGCGTCGAGAACCAGCCTTGAGGTCGGAGAAAACAACTCGTTCGACTTGTTACCCTTTTCTAAAAGTCTGCACCGAATCAGAACAAAGCTGTTGTGCTACTATGACGTGGACAGCGACGTGATCATATACAGGTGCATGTGCGCGCTGCTGCCTTACCTGAACGTGGACAAGTCGTACGATTCCATGGACAGCTTGAATGATATTGAGAAGAACGCGAGAGAGGCTAGCGCCGGGCGCAGTCACAAAGACAAGCACAATGAAAAAGTGGGGGGTAACAATTACAGCAGCAATGATGGTGTTGCTAGTGCGGACGAAAACGAAGACGACGACGAGAATGCGCATATAAGAAAAATCAGCAACGTGCATGACGCCTTCGACTACTATGACGACAAGCTAAGCATAGACAAGAACCCAGACCTGTATGGATTTGTATGGGTAAACATCTTCATTTCCTTCACCATTTTTTTTTTTTTTAATTGGAGGAATATCTTTTTCGGCGACTCCTCCGATGTTGATTTTACCAGCCCAGATGGCACCACCTTCAGTAGCGAAGAAATAAACAACCAAGCATACATCACCCAGAACAAATTAAACATTTTCTACACCAATTTAATTTGTTTATATCTTTTCAATACGCTCACCCCTGTATCAATATACGTCACAAATTTCATTATCACGAAAAGGATATTTCCAATGAGGTTGTCCTTTCTCATTTCCTTAATGAGTTATAACAATATAATGTTATTCCCGCTCCTCTTGTTTTACAAATTTACCTTGATAAAAACCAGTTTGTCATTTATTCTCTTCCTTTGTAGTATCCTACGTTTTTTTATTTTTGTCTACTATATGATGTCCTCCTTATTTTATATACACAAATACACCATCCGCACTTTTCACAATAATTTTTCCGATAACGTCATTTATGCGTACTATGGAATTTTTTCCTTGTCCTACCTTTTGTTATACCTTCAGTTAAGGCGTTACATATTTAATTATTTGTGACACGTGCGTCCGATAGGTACACGCTGCACACACACCAGAGGAGCATATGTTTTTGGTACCTCCCCATATTTGTAATTTTTTGGCGGCTGAATTTTGCTTGGCGTGTCATTTCGCTTTTTTTTTTTTTTTTTTTTTTTGTCCTATCGTAACAACATAACGTTTTTTCCTCTTTACATAAGAGTTTGACCAAATTGTAAATTTTTCTTTTTTAAAAAAATGTTGCAAGTTATGCACATTTGTTGCCACACAAATGGATCATTTTTCGAAAAAGGGAAAGGACAAATGTGGGGTTTAAGACAGACAGGCAAAGAAGCAACTTCGCGGCTACTACGCATGACAAAAAAAAATAATAATAATAAAATAAATAAATGAACCAACTCAAATCGAGTTAAACGGCAAATTGGGGTGAACTCGTGACACTAACAAGCCGTTCAACTGAGAGCGGACGCGGCGCTGGTGTGATTCACGGTTGGCGAATCTACAAATGCATATTCACACGAAGGTTAACAAAGGGGCGTGTATCGGAATAAGCCACACTTATGCACAGAGAAAGATGCAGGAAAAGTTAAAGTTGTGGGGATGCAACACTGGTAAGATGGTAAGCGCGTGCTGTTCTGGTTCGTTATACGATGCGCGTCTCCATTCTGCTCTGCGACCGCCCCCGACTTTCTATATGTGGTCGTCGTCGAACAAGTTGACCATCTCCTCACTCTCCATAATAATGTCGTAATTCCTGTAGTACTTCCAATTTTTGTACAATTTTAAAATCAGAAATAGGCACGCGCACAGCATAAACCACACGCACAAAAAAAAAATAAAAATGAGAACAGAACTTTTCTCGAAGCAGTAAATTTCCATTGTCAATATGGACAGCGGAATACACGCATCTGCTTCTCCCTTGGAGGGATCGTTCACAAGGGGGTCCTCGTCTTCTCCTCTTTTCTTTTCATTGAGTCGGAAGTCCTGGATGACACGATCGACATCGTACACGCTGCGAGGAGAGGGGGGGGGATGGTGGCCCAAAACGGGGAACAAGCACACAGTGAGGGGATGATGCTCTACTCACAAGTGGGATGCAACGGAGAACAGGGGCCTCACTTTGGCATACTTGAAAAATGCATGGACACATAGGTCATCACAAAACAACTACGTTATCCAACCCCTTGACCCAAATGGAGCTGCACCTCCCGTCGGCAGCGTGCGGTTCAGTTACCTGTCCTTATGGGAACTTCCTTCCAGGTAGCTTGTTGTTCCTGTGTCGGGCGGGACTTCCTTCTGCGAATGCTCCAAGAGGAAGGAATTATTTACACTCTCTGGTCGCACTTGGCCATTTTCCTCATTCGACCCGCTCGTTGTCATTGTTGTATCCTTCCCCGCTCCATAAGCGCTGTCTCCGATGGAAGCACTTTTGTCATCAGTCGCGAGAGTAAACTTTAATTTTTTTTCCTTTTCCTGATTAACATAGATATTACAATTTGGGGAAAATTTAAACATAAAATTTTTTTCCACTGTGTTCATTACTTCTGGGGATAAAACAAATTTGTGAACCTCGATGTTGGCGTATTTTATTGCTCTTATGCTGGTCGGCTCTATGTGTGTCTTCTGATCATCCTCCAGGTGTATGTCTTTCGCGTCTACTCTTCCCCAAAAAATTATATCAACCTGCACAAAAAAAAAAAAAAAAAAAAAAAAAAAAAAAGGGGACGAATTGTGCACGGGTTAACATATCTACACCTGTGTGTGAGGGGCGGGACAACGGGATCAATCATATTGCCACCACCCATGACCCCCCTCGCGCCTTACGCCAAAGGGGTAGCTCCTGTCCACGGGCATCGAGTTGTGCGGAAACACATCGAGCAGAATTGCCTCCCCGTTCTTGTCGTCGGAAAACTCGAAAATCTCCAGCTCGAAATAGAAGAAGAAAGTGAGGTTTTTATATACGTTGTTCAAATTTGCAGTGGTGTCATAGGAACGAATCTCCAGTGTGTAGTTCCCCTCTTCCAAGTATAGGCTAATATTTTCAAATGTGTTCAGGGCGTTTTCCTTCAGGCTGACTTGCATCTTGCTGCTGCTTGAAATGGCCCCACCATTTTTCGTGAGCTTCATTTGGAAGCTGGCTTGCGAAAAATCGTATCCCAAATTGGCTTTGAAGTAGCTCCCCTGAAAAAAAAAAAGGATCATATTGGGAAGACTTATCTAATCTGTGTACAGATACGACTCATTCAAGAGAAGCGGTGCCACTGCTTCAAAGCGCACGGGGCCCCTCCCCCCCCACATCATATTTTCTACCTAACGCTCATCATCACACAAACTTACCTTATGCACAACCACGGGAAGCGAAAAGGAGTCCTCCTTTTGGACGCTCCTCAAAATCACAACATCCGTTCCTACCCTCAGGTACTCATGCGACGGAAATTTCTTCTGCTCAAATTTTATATCCTCATCATACACTTTTGCCTTAACAGATAAGGTGTCAGAAATATTCTTCAAAAATTTCTCCAGGGTGTTTGCCTGGACATAAGCATTGCTATGCACAGGGGTGTAAATGTCGAGGGGGTAGAGACTTAGGACTAGCTGGAAATAATTACACAAATAGCTATTCGTTTTAATTACCAGTTTGAAACTTTTCTCAACTTTATACAAATTCAACATGAATTCCTCATCTTCGTTAGCAAATAAGGGTGACACAGAAAGGGCGTTGTTGTCTAGTTGATCTTTGTCCCCATCTGTATCCTCGTTGGCCTCCACAGAATGGTCCAGAACAACCCTAATATTAAAAACGTTCCGTACGTTCAAAAAGGAGTTTACAAAATTTATTGAAGGGTCTGAGAAATTCCCAGGAAGAATACTCCTCATATTTCCAAGTTCATTTTTCCCCCCTTCCTCTGCTGCCACATTTTCATCTGTTGACTCATCAATAGGGAAACAAAAAATTTTCAAAAGGTAACCACCATTGGGGATAGTAAAGAAAACTACTTCCATATAACTTTTGAGGAAAAATTTTCCAAAGAGATGAAAATATTTATTTTTATATTTTGAGGAAATTATATTTCTCCTCACTGATGTGTCATTTTCAGGGATATCCACCAAATTGATTTTGTTGAAAAAGGGTTTATATGGGTACGTTTTGCAGACTTCATTTTGGTGGGGTCTTCCAGGAAAGTTATTTACATATGTTAGTGCCTTTCCCTGTTCAGTTTTGCTTTCTTCACTTCTAGACGACACAATAAGTATGACCAAGTCGAATATGATATCTTTTACTTGTTCCCTCATCAGCTGGGGAAATGTTAAATGTATTTCGTACTCTCCCTGGGATAAGTCAATCGTAATGAGGGTTTTATGTCCACTGGAAATGTCAAAAAAGGATCGCCTCGAAACGATATTTAGGTTAAAGGGGTACGCAAAGAAGTGATAATGAGGTTTTATTTCAACATACACTTGGGCCCTCTCTTCTATTTTTAAATTAAAAAGTGTGTAATTTTTATTAATCATGTCGCTACTCTTCTGTGTATCATTCGAGTAATTTTTCCCGTCTTGAGGGACTTTTCCCACTTCATCCGATAAGCATATATAAAAACGCTTGTAAATGAGGGCATTTATTTGTTCGCCTTTTTTTACTTCTACACTGGTGACACTATTGTCAAAAATTTGAAAATTTTCATTTTTTATAATTTCTCTCCAGAAGTAGGTCAAATTGTGCAGCTTCACACCTCCATGATGGTGTAATATTTTTTTATCGCTGAACTTGAATTCCTTGCCAAATAGGAAATCGATTTCGTTCCTCAACAGGGTATCATCCCTACCGACTGCTGTTCTGCCCATGGGAACAATCACTCCAACTTCTTGCTTAGGCAAACCGACTTCTTCCCCAGTGAGGTAACTCCCACTTTGTATGTCTCCCCCATAATCCCACACCACAGACAAATTTGCAAACAATGCACCTGACCCATGTTCATACTCAAAAATGTATAACCCCTTCGTTAGATACGTCGATATGTATATCTGCCTCTTGTTGAAGGAAAAAATTTCTTCTCCTAGCGGTAACCCTTTCTTTGTCACTTCATCATAGGTGATTCCTTCACCAGACAATAACTTTTTCGCGTCGGAAAATTTGTACACATTCAGCTTTATGTCTCTCTTTTCCCTGTACATGTACATGTCAAAAAAAAGATTATCCCTGGCGAGGAACAAGACAACATTATTGTTCAGCAGTTCGAAGGTGTAGTGTAGAGTCTGGTTCGCGACAGGCAAGTCACAGTTACGAAGCGAGATCACCGCGGAGCGATCACCGCCATGCCTAGCCTCTTCACCAGCATCGCTTACACCAACTGATTTCCCTGCTGAACCGGGAGAACCCTTGAAAAGTATATTATTCAGTAAAAGCGGCAGGTTTACCGTGGAGTAGGACAAGCCCTGCTCGTCCCATTGCCGAAAGGCCTCCATCTCACTCGTGTAAATTATGTGCACGTAGCCATACGTACAAAAGTTGTCTCTTAAATTTTCGTTCACTTCTTCGTATAGGTCCACGTACAGCTTGAAGTGTTTTCCCTGATGGGGGGCTTCACCCTTGGGGTTGCTTTCCATCGGGGAGGCGCTATTCACCACGGGAACAGTCATCAGGATTTTATTTTTGTACGTGTAACTATCGTGGTATTGAAGTCTGCTATTTGAAGTGTCCTGAATGGCCAACTTATAAGGCAAATAATTTTGTGCAAAAATGAGTTCTATCTTCAGGAGGAACGTAGCTGCGTGATCCATGCTCACCACGTGGGGAAGGATCAGCTCTTTTACGATCCTTTTGTTCGGGTGGAGCAGAAGGAAGTCCCTCTTGAATAGGTAATAGGCGTTTGGGGCTTCAAACCAGAAAATGTTTTTGTCATTCACTTGAGTTTGATTAACATCTGTGGTGAGATCCGGGCGCCTGGGTTGGACATAGGAGGTCAGGTCGTACACGTCTTGTGAATTTGGTGTGGTCGCTGCGGGGGGCACTCCAGAACTCTGCAACCCACTGGCAGTGGCTTCCGAACCTGCACCTGTGATCGAGTGTGCGCCGACGAATGCACCCCCAGCGCACCTCTCAAGCAAACTCAAGTGGAAGACATAAATCTGGAGGTAGAAAAATGCGTTGTCCTTCTGGTCGTTGGGCGCGTTAAACTGAAAAACGACTTCGTACTCCCCCTTTGTGAAGGACTCGATATACAGCTGATTGTACCCATCGTACAGCTTTTTCTTATTCTTGTCGTACAGGCAAATGTACACATAGTTGGCACTAAAGCAATTTATTTTTACAATAGAATCTTCCTTTATGTAAATGAGCAGGCTATGCTTCTTATACTTTGGGATGAAGCAAAAGTTGCTGAACGAGTAGGAGTCGTAACCGATGATCAAATCAGGGATATAGTTAATCCTGCTGATCATGTTATGTGTATTGGTTGTGGGTTGCAAGTGACCCGGTTCTTCATTCTCTTCCCTTGTTAATTTCGCCTTGGTTACCAAATCTATGTCAACGAAAAAAAAACCACACAGCTGCTTTTGTGGGTAGTGCATGGTGGAGGCAATTAGATAAATGGTAAAGGGACGGTTTCCATGCTTCACTTTATACTTGGAAACATTCCTCGAATTTCTGTATATGTAATAATAACAGTTCTGCTCCGTAACAGGTTCTACAATTACAAAGAAGAGGTCCAAGAAGACGGAATTGTTTATTGTTACGAGCAATTCGTCTGCCCTCTCGCTAATGTGCTTCTCGTACAGAATCACAAAATCAAAATCTTCAAATATAGGGTTATTCAAAATCCATCTGTTTTCATAAATGTTCTGGTACGTTTTCACGTCCTCTTCTATACTGTTTGGCCTTTTGACCTGACCACCTACCGAGTTGGACCTCTCTGCAGCGGTGAAACCCTCCCCCTCAGGTCCACTGATCAAGTTGGAAGAAAGCTCCTCACGATGCGTCTTACTCTCTGACCTCAAGTGGTAGTAAAACAAGTCCGTCACAATATTCATGCTGCTATCACATTTGTGTCTTTCCTCATACATACTCAAAGGGTGAATAATAAGATTCACTTCGTTCGAGTCACAAATCATATTATACCCATCAACAGTTATCCTTAAGTAATATTCCCCCTTGGGTAGGGTGCAGTTAATGTAAGCTATATTGTGAAGAGAGAACTTCTTCCTTCGCACCTCTTCATCATCTGTATAATTACCATCAACCGCTTTATTCACATGGGCATGAGGAAAATGATCCATCTCCTTTGCCATGTAATTAAAAATTGTGTAATCATTTAAGTTATTCATATAGTACGTATTACATACCTTGTCCCCTCCATGAGACGAGTCTTTTTTAAGCAAATTTATATATACATTATCTGCTTTAGATGTGACAACCAAATTGAAAAGACTTTCCTCACTGATGATTACGGTTACTTGTTTAGGTTGCTCAAAAAATTTAATTGGGTCAAAATTGAAAATAAAATTATCATTCAATTCGATCATCCTGCCGTATATGATGAAGTCAGCGTTTGGGTCAAGGGGAGTAGTACAATTTTCCTCCTGTCCATCCCTTTTGCACCGTTTAAGTGAATATTCCTCTAGTGCACTTTTTTCCCCCGTTTGGATAATCCCGCTGGGGAAAAACGTATTATGCATGCACTCCCTGGTGAAGTGTTCACGGATGAAGTCCACCATGGTGTACTCTGCTGAATTCCTCACGATGGAAAATTCTATATTAAAATGAGCACCTTCAGGTTTCATGCCTGATATACCTGGGGAATCCCTTCCAAACATATACTTGACTTCAAATTTATACACAGCGTTATTATGTAGCAGGGCGTGCAGCAATAACCCGTTTTTTGTTCTGACACTATTCACACACCCCTTGTTACATTCCTTGTCCAAGTGAGCCAACCTCAAAATATTATCCACGCTCATATTATACAAATACCTTTTTCCTATTGTTAATTTTTTCAAATTCATGTGGAAATTTTTCTCTTTTGTTATATCTTCTGTTAAGTGGGAGTAGAAGCTTATATTACCGTGTTCGCTGAATTGAGTAAATAAAAGGACCGTATACACTATCACTTGTTGCTTCACCTGCATATGGACATAGGATTCCTCCTCCTTCCCTCGTTCGAATCGAATGTAGTAGTCTTCACTTGAAGCGTAGTAGTAGTTGTCTTTCACAATGATGTAATTCTTGTGGTGTGCAGGGAGTTTGCTTTTTTTCTCTTCCATGATCGTCCTATCAGAATAAAGGCTTTTCAACTCATTACTCTGTCCAGCACTATTTTCATAATTAAGCGGAGCCCCTTCATACCTACTCACCAGACCAATATTCAACTCCAACATTACATTAACACAAGTGGTGAAATCATGTTCTGTGCCAGAGTTAATGACAAAATAAAAGGTTCTCATTTCCCCAGGGTGTACACTCCTGTCCGGTTCAACACGAATAAAAAATTTTACTTCATCGTGGGAGGCATCCTTCGTCAAAAGCAAAAGGCTATTATGTCTGTACTCGTATAACTGCACATTTTTTACCGATACACTGTGTAGGTTAAAATTTATAAAAAACTCTTCATTGAAATATTCAAAGTATATATAGTTGATGTTCCACTTTAGGGAGAAATTATTGGAGACGTTGATTTCCCGCAGGGGGTTAAAAAAATTATGACTGTTCAGGTAAAATGGGATGATATTGTTACATACGTTTGTCCCGATGCCGCTTTGCTCTCCAAGACCTCGCCTCGATTGGAAGCGAGCCTCCTCACAGGGGAACAGAACGTTAACAAGAAGTAGCAACAAGCAGCAGAGCGGTAACCCCGCCCAGCGGGCAAGGCCCTCATTTTTCTTGCGTCCCATTTAGGGCAAAAGTTCCCTGCCCCTTCACACCTGTACCACGTAGATTTAGCCACGTGACAAAATGTATGGCAGCCTTGACAACAATATGGTGTACAGCTTCCTAACTGCTTAGTTTGGCTTCAGCAACCAGTGGCGCCATTGAGGAGGCCAGGCAGAGAAGCTCTTCTCTTTCACCCAAACGGTGTACTTCCTCGCGTGTGTTTAGCCTCATCATCCTCGACCGTTCTCTCGCAGCTTGCTTGGCTCGTTTGGCTTGCTTGGCTTGCTTAGCTGGCCCAGCTCCCGGGCATTCAATCCTTCGTATCATCTACTGTCGTGCAGCTTGGGTAAAAGCCACAGTTAGCATCGCCACAACTAGGCAAAGTAGCAATTTGGCAAAGTAGCAACTCGGCAAAGTAACAAATTTTATTTTTTCCACTTATGGAAGGAGAAGCGGTTCGCCACTTGTTGCCTTCCCCGAGCAATGCTCATTTGTACGCGTGCGGTAAGCGACACCAACAGAGATCAAGCAGTGGGAAAAATAATATATTTATTATTATTCCCCATGAGGCGTTATGCAGGGCGTGGGTGGGTCTGAGTGGAGGATACCCTTTTGCTGTGCATGCAAATGCGCCATCAGATTTTTTTTTTTTTTTCCTTCTGGATGTGAATTTTACCCTTAGGTGGGAATCGTTGCTAAGATGCCGGGGCAGAGGGGGGCTCACACGGAACTGGGCCCCAGTAGGTACCCACTAAAGCACTCCCCTAAAAAAACATACATATTACCTTTCGAAGCGAAACGGAGTGGACTTAGTAGATGGGCATTCCGCTAAAAAGTTACACACATGCTGTTACCCACCCCATGTTGCATTTTTTTTTTTTTTTTTTTTTTTTCATCTCGTGCAAACAGTCTAATGTGCCACAAGGAAAGCAACGGATTAGTCTTTTTATAGTACGACAATTTCTTCATCCCAAGTGCAAATAGGAAAAGTAGCTGTACGATGTAGGGAATTACTTCTCTGGCCTCGCTTCAGCGGAGGTATTGACCGTGGTTTTGTATGGGCTGTCCCTCCTCGCGCGTTTGACTCCCTCTTTTCCGTGAGCCCCCATAAATTTCTACCAAACGAGGCCATTCGCGTGTACCTCCACCTGTACGTACGCACACGCATCGTGAAGAGACACACAATGGGAGTAGTAGCCAAAGAAAAAAAAAAAAAAAAAAAAAGGGCACAAATGTGTATTTGCTTCACCGCGCATAAATATCACCCCATCCATACATAGGGACTACTTCGTCACGCATAAGCATCAGCTCTCAACACGCACGGCAAACCACATGCCCCACCAGAAAGGACTTCCCCTTCCAACAACACCTTCGCGCCTCCCCCAATTTCATATAACCTGCAAGTACAAATAAAGTGTAGGAAAAGTTACTCAAGGGAGCTACGCTAAAGTGTGTATAAAGTTACCTGCGACAGATTTTCCCCTGATGGAAGACCCGATGGGAGAAGCCACGTGCAGATCTGTGGAGCGCATTTTCGATGGCGTCTCGTTTAACAAAAGTGACAGGTAATTCGGCAAAAAAGAACAGACACAAAAAGGGGGAACAAGTAAAAGAAGGAAAAAGTGAGCTACGTTGAGAGTTTCCTCCTTCGTTGTCGCATCATGCGCTTTGCGGGTGTGTAGTACGAGTGCGTACTTACGTCCACTTCGTTTTTCTTCTTTTCTTTTTTGCCGTGTTGTGATTGTTCCTATTGCGGCACGGCATAAACGTCTGGTTGGAGTGGCCGCTTACCCCCAATACTGCGTAACCGCCCCGCCCCCCGCGCAGGACAAGGCTCCAATTCGAGGACAAGAAGCTAAACCACTTCTTCGAAAATGGGATACTGAACTACAGCCTGGTGGAGGTGGTGGGCGTGTCGGGCAGCGGGAAAACGCAGTTCGCTCTGACCCTCTGCGCAGAGTTCCTTTTAAAAATTATTAAAGAAAAAAGACAGGCCATAGTTTTTTATGTGTACTTTAATCGAATGTTCCCCGTGAGCAGGCTGGAAGAAATAATTAAGAACAAGATGGACTTGGGGGGGAGACGTGTCCACAGGGGTGCAGACAATGTTCGTAGTTGTAACGGGGTGCACGCAACGGGGAATGATAAGAGGATGGAGGAAGTGGAGGGGTCTGGAGAAGTTGGCCACCATGAGGAGGTGAACTATGACGAGATGCGCCAGCCAGACGCGGACCACACGCACGACTGTCCCGTTCGAAGTGCCCTGCAAAATTTGTACATACAAAAAATAAACGAAGACAAGGAATTCTTCCAGTTAATAAAAAAAGACATACACTATATTTTGAAGCATCACCACATTTCCCTCCTTGTGGTGGATTCACTGAATTCTCTTTTTAACGGAAATGATCAACTAGACATATACAAAAAATACCAATTCTTTAAAACAGTGTCTCAGTCTCTAAAGCAACTGGCCTACGAGAATAATTTTTTTTTATTAGTACTTAACAGTTGGCATCCACGCAAGGACTACATAAATATTTCATTCAATTTTGTTGATTATGTTATTAATTCTTCCTTTGCCAACACGATTATATTTTTTAAGAAGAAGAAGAGAAAGAATAAAATTGACCGCAAGATGATTATAAAATGTTCGGAGTTTCTACGCAAGTACAAATCGATGCGGTTTGAAATTAACGACGCGGGGGTTAGCGTGCCGTGAGTCGCCTCGTGAGAGGGAGTGTGCCCCCTGCACATTGTAGAGCCATCGTCAGAGCACCGTGTTGTGCACACGCTTCTCACCTGTGCGAGTAGACATGTACGCCCGGTTGACAGAGACGACGGGGATATCATTTACACATGCATGGTGTTTTTAAAAATGGAGGCAAATATTCCAGTAAGTTTTTCAAACAAGTCAAATGCAGCGCTACGCAGCGCAAAAAAAAAAAAAAAAAAAAAAAAAAAAAAAATGAGAAAAACACGGGTGAATAGAACTAATGCGGGGCAAAAAACGGAGAAGAGAAAAGTACCAACGATGGAAAAGGTGCCGCAACGGAAAAAGTGCCACCGTCAATGGACGCGCGTGGACATGTATATCTGGACGCAGATCAAATGGGCAAGCGCTTATTATTCATGATGTAATCAGCCAAATGCTTTATGCCAGGAATTTCTAAAATAAAACTGAGTGGGGAGTATTTCACAAAATTAAGAACGTTAGGCATGAAGGAAAAAAATAATTTGTATATGCCATAGCCTTGAAATAGGAAGCCAATAAATGTCCTGCTCATAAGGATAAGGAAGAAGCCAAACAGGAAGCTTGCAATTCCTCCAATTTTTTTCCTGTTCATAAAAAAGCGCACAATTTTTGTTGCCCCAAGTAAAAAATATAAACCCAGTAAAAAAAAGACATTAGAAATACACAAAAAAAATTTATCAAAAAATAAAAACACTCCAATAAACCCTGATGCTATTCCTAAGAAGAAGAGTAGCAATCCTAACGTTTTGTTTTCATCTAACATTTTTTTTTATATTTATTTGTACATTTACAGAACGGTGCTGGGGGGGGTGGCGCAGCGGTTGCACTTTTATTTTCTTCCTTCTGCTCTATTTTGCGGGAAGGCCAGTCTACGGGGCAGCAAAACAGTTCTGTGGAGAGGCAGTTCTATCGGGAGGCAGCTCTGTGGTGCGTGTGCCTAAGGTAAAGCTTCCACACACAGGTGCCACACACAACAGCTTCACAACGTCGCTCGAGCTTGATCATGCTAGCGCCCTGTCTGCATTTACAGCCTGCGTGCAGCTTGGTCCCTTCTTCGGTCCGTTATTGCGTCTTCTTAATCTTAATTCGGAATGTCCTGTCTCCCTTGCAGTGTCTCCCGGCTGGCATCGGACCTTTACCGCTTCAAGTGCGCTTTTTAAAAACGAGTTGGCAAATCTTCGAGGGCATTCCCGCGTCAGCCCTTCATCATCAGATCGTACGGGAGTGTGCTACGCGTCTTCAACCGTTTGGTGCGTTTCCACGTGTGTGGGTTTTCGACTGGGGGACTGTCCTTCTCCCCTGGAGGGGGGCGGGGGCGTTATTTTCTCTTCACGAATACTATACAACAGCGCGGTTAACCTCGTGGGCGCCGCGCTGGGAAAGCTGCACAACGGCAGAGTGGTTTGGTAAATGGCGAAGACCCTCGGGCGGCATATATGATGCGCATGGAAAAAAAGTTATGTGCAAGTACACGTACATTTATACATATGTGCACATATATTTTTATATGTACAAAATTTCGCTCTTTTCATTTTTTTTTCGCCGCGGCACGCACGCTTCAAACGCTGAAATGTGAGTCAACTTCAACTGGCGAATTCGCCATGCAGAAATTGCTTCGCCTGTGCGTCCTGTTAACCTTTTTTTTTGTGTTCTTCTTTGTCCTTTTTTTTTTTACTTTTCTTTCCTTTTCTTTTTTTTCCTTTTTTTTCTTTTTTGTTTCATTTTTTTTTTTTTTTATCTTTTTTTTTTACTTTGATTTGAAAGGGGCCAATTTGCGCACGGCGGGGTCGGCACATCCGGTGTGCTGCAAAAAATTACGCTCACAAATTGGCAGGTGTATAAATATGCGTTGTAAGCACAATTGTAAAATTTTACACCTAAATAAATATGTGTAAGTAAATGTATGAATGACATTTGAAAAAAGCGAAACATCACTTATGTAAAATTTACACAAGGAGGGAGAACATCACCCTGTTGGGGTAAAAGTTCTGACCAGTGCAGTGCGGCAAAAGCGCCGCCACTCGCAACGCGCAAAAAAAAAAAAAAAAAAAAAAAAAATGCAATCGCGTAATGTGCCCCAAGGTACGTAATATAAAAATTTACACATCCTGTTTATGATTTCCCATGTACCTCTTCATAGCAGCTGCACGAGGTTAAATTGATTGTAAGTTGCTCCACATCCTGCTTCCCATCAGCGCATTCCAAATTGGGGGATTTACTCCACCCCTCCTGTGCGCAAATTTTCTCATTTTCCACATTGAGCAGTCGAACTTGCTGTACGTGGCGTGTGTGCATGGCTACTACTTGAGCGTTTTTACAATTGGCCCAGGGAAGGCGGCGGGAAAGAAACATGCAAAATGCAGAATGTAACAGTACACGCCGCTCGTTATACGCATGTACAGATTTACACTTTCACACACGAGGCATAGAAGCAATGGCATAATTTACACCATGCAAAAACACAGCGTAGGGGAGTACCGTGACTTTTCCTTCCCCAGCCACCTATCACATATAAAATATAACCTCTCAGGATGCACGTCCCAAATATAACCCCTTAATAATTTCATGGCGCTTCTTCAAAATGTGAACATGATCAGCATATTCAAACAGGTAAAGGCAAATGCTATCGACCCCAAAGCGTCTGATGTAGCGATATATGTCCATGCTGTTACTAACGGCGGAGTTTAAAAAGCAAATTTCCATATGCTTTAAAAACAATTGCTCTGAAAAATTAAATAAAATCCTGTTATGCTCTAGGGTGAATAGTGCATACAATACATTTTTGTGGTTGAAAATGTTTTTCACTTTTTGTATCACGTCCTTTTTCTCATGCTCTGATAATTTTTCATTTCGCATGGCTGCTTCATTTAAGCGTACAAGATATTCATTCATATTTTCCGACGGTCTATTTTCCTCACAGTGGAGCAATTTGTTCTTGTGACTTTTGCTGCTTCGCACATTCAGTACTTTATCCATTAGCAGACTTCTGCCTAAGCAAAGGGGTAAGGGGTGAGGTGGCGTAGGGCAGCGTGTACAAAGCAAAGTGGCCAGTGAGATATTATAACTTGATCGATCTACATCAACAGGGGCATATTTATTTGTTAAATCGTAACGGTGCGTGTGGACTCAAAATGACATTTTTTGTGTGAAGTCAGGGAGGTTGAAAAACTCCTGTCTGACTCGCCCTGTTGCAGAGGCTACGCTTATTTGCCTGACACACACCTGCCCCATGTACAGCTGTAGTACTGTACTGCTCATTTCCTCGTTCCTTACCCAAAATGTGCAAGTGCTGGACATGCGGGGGATATTTCTCGTAGTTAAAAATGACGTCCACGTAAATCTTTATGAGTCTCTCAAAGAGGTCCCCCTGTTTTCCACTCTGAAGGTTACCGATCAGTGTGTTTCTACTCCAATGGGGAACCTTCCTCTGGTCATTTTCTTCCCCCGCGGAGCTCATTTGAGTGCTCCCTATCTGTGAGCCGCGTATAAAAAATTGGGGTAGTACCTCCCATGTTGACGCATACGAACGAATTCCCTGCTGGGGGGTTCGAAAAATGCCCCGCGTTTTCATTCCGGGGAGAGGGATGGTTTCCAAGCGTAGCCTCACTTTCGAGCGGCTCATAGTTTTATTCAGATACGTCCACATGAAAGGCACACCCCCACCTCCGGTCTGGTACAAACTTCCCAGTTGGACTTTTTCTCCTTTTAGCCTAATCCATGTCCGTTGTTAGTTTATCGTTTTTTTTTTTTTTTTTTTACGTGGAGGGGAAAAAATGACATCTACGTATCAACCACGTAGATGAAATAGAGCGGCCAAGTTACAGCTTCGCGACGCGAAAAAAATAAAAAACAAAAAAAAAGGATCCCCCAAAAAATGTTAGGAGTCATGTCGGAGTGCCCTCCAATTCGCAAGAGTATACACCCATTCGTACATGAGCATAACGCACATGGGATTTATTTCACAACTGCCGTAACATACATGTGACTTTCACAAAAAAAAAAAAAAAAAAAAAAAAAACTACAATGCAGACCGTATGAGAAAATCGCTCTCCTTAAATTTCACCTTCTTGTTTAAGTTTAATTTATTTTCCATTTCGTCAACAACTTTTGCATATTCTTTGTTCTTCTTCCTGAGTGAGTGCAACTCTTTCTTTAAAAGTATTCTACAGGAGAGAAGTGTAAGAGGTCGGGTCGGTGGTGTGCAGGTCAGGCATTTCGCTTTGATGAACCGGAGGGGCACAATTTGCTTCTATGCTTTATTATTTTATTATTCTTTTTGTTGTCCTTTTTTTGCCCCGTTTTTCTAAACGAACATGTCCAAAATGGTTTTATTTTTTCGCTTGAAGAAATTCTGCAGAAGCTTCGCCTGATCTTCGTTCTTCTGTTTCATATCGTCCTGCCCCTGTGTGTGGGGGGAAGTAAATGTACGAAATGACAGGTGGTCAGTCCGCGGGCCTTTCACCCAAGGTGTATTGAAAAGGATAGTTAATGTCGCCGCCCCATCAGAATGGAAGTGGCTGAGAGCAGGGCAAAGGGTGCGCGGGTCTGTCCCACTCACCGTTAATTCCTCCCGTTCCAGGTCAACAGGCCAGGCTTCTCCATCCCGACTCGTTACATCCAAACTGGACGCAATTTTTTCCCGCTCCGTTTCGTACCTCCTTATGAGGGAGGAAGCATTTGAAAAAAATGTCTCATACCAATTTGTGTGTATCACTGAAGTGTATTTTGCACAGAAGTGAGCACGTCCGATGTGAAACACATAAGGTTGGCTCTCCCCGCCTTTGGGGGCAAACACCTACCTGCACAAGTTGTTCGTGTTTATCAACTTATTTGCGAGACATATATTTTCCTCCAACACGTTTATGCATTTGCTTGAGCTTACGGTGATGTCGATGAGTCTTTGCTTGTCGTTATGTCTGATGGATGGGAGAGGGGTCAAGCAAATTTTTATGTTTAACTAAGATGGGTGTGCCTACGTATATTCACCTCTCCTCACTTGAGGATGCAATGGTTGATGTGTAAGCAGAGGGAGCGAGACCCGCGTTTGCTATCATTGCAAGGGGTACCAAATTTTTTTTTTTTTTTTTTTTTTTTTTTTTTTTTAAACTGCGTGGCTTACTTCAACTTTTGGAGGATCATCTTGATCGCCCTGATGTGGTTGAGCAGTTGTGTCTTCTCATTTCGCAGTCGCTCGATTTGCATTTCGTAAATCTGCCTTGTGGTGTAAGTGTGGATGAATGGGGGAAGATGACACAGTCTACAATGCCCTCGTTGGGCCAAGCTACTGGCGTTGACCATCACATCACCCACCTTAATGTCATTCTCCAGCTTCAATTTCCAGCTGTCGATTTTGATTTCCAGGTCGTGCACCTGCCAAGAGGAGGAGGAGGGGTAAGTGGGGGAGAAAAAGAAACATACATGGGGAGTGAGCAACGGAAGAAAAGACTTTAGCGTATGTTCCCACACTTAAAATATAAATTTGCCTATGAGTAATCATGGACCCCTCTTAATTTTATTCTCAAACTGCTCATCGCGCAAAGTGTCTCGTACACCCTTACCTCTCGCTCCTTCGTGGAAAGGTTACTCTTACTCCGCTCGTACTTCTCCTTAATAGAGTTGTAACTACTGTTGGCCTCATCGAGCGCTTTTTTATTTTCGCTGATGAGGCTGCTAAACCTCGTTTCATTCTTTTCTTTGAAGTTTTCAAATTTGTAGTTGGAGATGTACTTCTCCGCGATGTAGCTTTTGTAAATTTCGTCCATCAGCTCGAATTCTTCCTTTTGCAGGTCCGTCTTCCTAGCCTTCTGGCTCTGTTCAATCTGCGCAACGGGGGGGGGGGGGGGGGGGGGGGGGGGGAGTAACCTGCTTGTGTGGTCCCTTATCCGCTCGTGTATCGGGTCATTCGTCCAGCTGCGTGCCCAGATGTGTGACAGGCCGCGTAAGAAGCCGCGCGAGAAGACGCGCGCCCCACCTGGCTGTAGAACAAATTTATGTTGTGGATGATGCTGTTCCGGTTGCCGATCAAAATGTCCCGGTCTTCCTCAAAATGAACAAACAGCTTATTTATGTCCTGCTCAAATTGCCTTTGTAAGTTAGTCATATTTTCCTTGTGCATGTCGACGAGCATACTCAGCTTCCCATTTTTCAATTCCTCGATTTGTTCGAAAATGGTTTCCTCATCCAACTCGTCATTTAGAAAGAGCAGCAACTTGTCATTTATGTTTTTGTTGATCTCATGGTTGCAAATTTCGTGGTCTATGTTTTTCTTCAGTTGCTTCAGCTGCGGGGGGACGGCAGCGCCGCGCAAACATGCGTTTGTTGAGTGTGTGTTAAGGTAGCGCGCGTGAGTAGCACATATACGGGTATGTACCAGCTGGGGTCCCTTTTTTTTTTTTTTTTTTTTTGAGCGACCCCAGCCACGCCTTTTCTCTACTTTGTCTTCGACGCACCTTCAAATTTCTCAGCAAATCTATCCACCGCAAGATTGTGGGAGACTTATCGTTTTTCTTTTCAATTGGAGCATTTTTCTACCAAAAAAAGAAGAAGAAGAAAAAAGGGCATATATGTATGTGTACACACCTCTCATCTGCCACATTGCGCACACCACGCACGCTCGTCACTGTGTTGTCCTGTTCTTGAACATACTGAGGGTGCTGTCTTTTTGTTTAGTGTGCCCGGGGGCTTCTTCGACTTGTTCATATCTTTTTTCTTCTTGCCCTTATTTTTTATCATTTTTTATAATTTTTTTTGTTGATGCCTTTTATGAAGCGAAAAACTTGGTATGGAATTTCCCTTCGTTAGAGGGGGAAGCTTCCCGCGAGTTCCGCATTTGTCGTGTCTAAGGGTTGCTGTCCCCATGTGACACACTAAAGTGTAGTCACCCTCACACGACTGTATTTTTACACACGCGCAACTACGCACATGCGGGATGGTGTTTTTGAATTTCCCCTTTGACCTTCCCTCACAAGACAGTCCACATTTTTTCCCATCCGGGGACAAGCAGCTTAAAAGGGTAAGACATTTTTAAAAGGCAAGGAAGTGGAAAATACTGTCCCCATTATATGAACAAAAATGCCAAACTATACATGCCGGTCACTCCTGTCTTGTGGAATTCTTCACAGCATGTGCACACGCACACACTGTGGTGTTCGCGCAATGCACCTTTTTCTTTATGTCCCGATATCTCCCTTTCAAATGAAGAGAAGCAGATCCAAACAGGTTCATCAAAAAAAAAAAAAAAAAAAAAAATTATTATAAAATCAAGCAAAATTTTTTAAAAGAGAAAAATCAATGAACACTTAAGAGCAAATAAACTGAAAAAAAAATATTTAAAAAAAAAAAAAATATATATATATATATCACTCAAACCTTCCCCCAGGTGCAGTATATGCCCCTGAAGCCTTAAAAGAATTTACCCAATAGACATGTATACATGTGTTTACATATTAACACACAAAAAAATTTTAAACATTCACATTTACGCATTCGTGCATGCCTGTAGGACAAAGGGGGAGGGTAGCGCCTGTTCTGGAACATGTGTTCCTTCTCAAAAGGGCCAACATCATAGCCCATATTGTGCAGGTAGACACATTGACATCACTACACTTGTCCCTACATGCACATATATAGATGTAGCACCCCACCCACTAAGGCAGGTAGTCGAACTGTGCATGACGAGATCAGACGGAAAAAAAAAAAAAAAAAAAAAAAAAAAAAAAAAAAAAAAAAAAAAAAAAAAAAAAAAAAAAAAAAAAAAAAAAAAAAAAAAAAAAAAATACATGTTCAAAAGGTTGAGTTTATGTAAAGCATCATTTTACAAAGAACCTTTCAGTAGGAACTTAAAAAAAAAAAAAAAAAAAAAAAAAAAAGCATCTGTCCACATGTGAATAGGGTACACGGGGACGTATATATCAGCCCACTGTAACGGCTAGTATACAGTCATGTGGACCGATATACCACAAATAGGAAAATCTGAATTAGGGAAAAATTCAAACACTTCAGTTCGATCAATCTTCAAACTGGGCAAATTAAATGCTTCAAAATTGTTAATTCGAATTTACTGATCCTAACTTGGCATTAAAAAACGGGATCAAAATAGTCATCATGAAGTTACCAAAAAAAAAAAAAAAAAAAAAAAGAGAGAGAGAGAGAGAGATAGCTGCGAATATTCCTGTCTATGAGAACCTGCTCGAAAAAAAAAAAGAAATATATACATATAAAAATAAATTGGAGAATTCTAACGAATCGGATTGCCTAACGGGTGAACCACTGTCGTGGTCACATGACCTACCCCCGGAGCTCCATTCGCTCACTTACATTTTAATTTGAACGGATCCTGACAGAGCCAAATGTTTGTACGCGTAGGACCCCTTGGCAATTATGGACATGGCCACTTGGATGAGCTTAAGTTGCTGCGAAGGTTCACGGATGGGCACAGACATGAGCAAAGGAACGCACACATAAGCAACGGCGGAGAAGCCCCAGCAGCGGGTACCGACACGTGTGCATACGTTGCCATACACTGTTGCGTTACACATCGGCTAATTGTGCAAACGCGTTGTTTCCTTTCCCTTTTTTCTTACCCCTGTGAAGTCCTCCAGGGACAGGCCCGCCTGCACCTTCACGTTGAAGGCTCTGTTAATTAACCCCGTGTTGGCTAGTTGTAACTCCTGCAACGGGTGGGGGGATAGCGATAGGGCCATATGCATATCATCGTGCATGTACACACAATTTGTGCAGCCGCTCGCGCAGGCACACTATTGTGCACTGGTCGACTCTCCCACATTGCAATCTTACATAAGTCGCTACTTCCTCAAAGTCGGTGTCGCCCAGGGAAATAAAATCAATTTTGTGTGAGATGTACGGGCGGTAGAGGTTGTAGTGCTGCTTAAGAATATCATCAAACTTTTTTTTCTGTAGTGCGTGGGGGAAGAACGTGGGGGGGTTAGCACTCACGCGGGGAAGAGGCACACAATGCACACGTCACACATCTGTACAGCAGTACATGGCGCGAAAATGTATGCTCGCCCCGGAACACACCTTGGCGCACATCCAAAAGCGAAAATACTCATGCACGTAGAGGGGGGACGGCTCCATCTGCTGTTCTGTTCTTATGATTGGAATTTGGGAGTGCAGAAGCAGTTTTGACAGGCGCGGGAAAAGCCACCTGACTGTCTCGATCCACTTGTCGCTACGCGCATTGGTCACGATGAACACAGTGTGTGACAAGGACATGGCCAAATGAATTACGGAACAAGCAACTGATTCAAAGTTGCATTTTTTATTTAACTGAATTTCCTTCTTCAATTCTTTTATGCCCTGTTTATAGCTAACTGCACACCTTGTCAATAAAAAGGATCTGATCCAGTTGGTCGGAATGAGCGTATCATCCAAATCAAAAATGATCACTCGTTTGCACTTCTCTAGATACATCCCGCATGTGCTCTTCATATTTCTTTTTAGGAACTGCAAAGTAAAGGCAGATTCCGGTATGGCTGGTTGGTAAATATATTTGACCTTTTCTGGTGCATCATTTTTGGCAACCATTTGATAGGTTATGTTTCTCTTCCCATTGTCACTACTACCAATAGTGTTGTTAAAATGTTTGGACTTGTCCCTCAAGTCGGTCATATCAATTGGGATGCCAAACATCTTGTTTCTATACATTTTGAATTTGGCGTCGTTACTTAAAAGGAAGTTGGTGTTATACTGGGGGAATGGAATAATGCTCAAGTGACTGCTTATGTCCATGATGGAGAATGGGTTTCTCTTGTGCCTGGTCTTTGCGTCCACATTTCTGGGGATCAAACTCTCGTTAGCGTTAGGCGGGATGCTATTGTGGGGTAAATTCATAATTGTTGCGCGATGCTTCTCTGTGAGGATCGATGATGCCCTTGCGCAGGCATATATGTAAGAGTGTACATATGTGTGTTTATGTTTAAATGTATATATATGTGCGCGAGAGCACCTGTCCACGTTCACTTGGCTCTACAACAACATGGACGCCCTAAGCAGCTACAGGTTAACACCACCGCCAAACGCACTTGTCTTTGACGCGTCTCGAGGGCATGTATCTTCGCAGCGGTTTTCAAAAAAGGACATGTACGTATTTGCGTATATATTTGTGCATGTACTTTTGTGCACATGTTTGTGCATATACTTTGTGTGCGTATTTATGGATGCGCTTAGAATACATAGAGGGTGCCTTTTCGAATGAGCATCCCTTGGAAATGCTTGCGAGTGTTTAAAAGAGGGGGAGTGCGGAAACAAAAAATCTGCCCTGCTATATATGCGCATTGGTTAATTGCGCGAATTATTTCCGTCAATAGGTGGGCATATGCACATAAAAGTGGACATGAACATGTACGATGTTTCTGTCCTTTTCTTTTTGCTCATTTTTGCTCTTTGTTTTTTTTTCGTTTTTTTTCCCTCTTTTCCTTTTCCTTTTTTTTTTTTTTTTTTTTTTTTACATGGCTTGTTCATACATTTTTCATTTTAAAAAAAAAAAAAAATATGAACGTTCATACATATCTGTTGCGAAAGTACACATACATGTATACAGCCAAAATGCAACTTCTAGCAAGCTATAACACGTTTGATACAGCAATAATGTCGCATAAGTAAGAATTTACCTACTTGCGCGCTCACGTTTCGTATGTCGTACTGACAGACATTTCGTGTCTTTTGTTCGTTCCGCTTTGCGTATGTTGCCTATGCCTTTTGCTGTACTTTGCTGTTTTTGCCGACTTTATGCGTACAAGTGCACACTCACCAAATGGGTCCCAGTGGAAGTGCGAAAAAAAGTGGATAAAGGAGGAAAGCAAACGAAGCGAAGCGAAATGAAACAAAACAAAATAAAACAAAACGAGGCATGAAAAAAATAACACTAACCGAGTAGACGCAGCTATGCTGTGAGTAGCTACAGTCATGTATATACGCGTTTTTTTTTTTTTTTTTTTTTTTTTTTTTTTTTTTTTTTTTTTTTTTTTTTTTTTTTTTTTTTTTCGTGTTCATTAATTTTTTCACTTTTTTAAAATGTCTGATATTAAAACATATGCACACGATGATGCCATTTTTACGTGCACTTTTTGTATACCCATTTTTGTGCATGCAAACATGTGAGCGCTTTTATAGACGCAGGGGGGAAAAAAAATATGCCAATATGCAAAAATCACAGATGCCACATTTGAGTGTTGTTTTTCTGTTTTAGTGATCCTCCATAAGCTACCGAAAGAGGGCATCATGTACAGGCGAAGAGTATGGGGAGGGTGGTAAAAACAAAATTGATATATAAAGGGGGAAAATACGGGAGGTCACAGAACAAAGAGAAAAAATGTGAACGCGAAAAAATGCTGACGCACAGAATGAACTAAGCGAACCTGCATCACGTCAACGTCACCATCAGTCGTCCAACAAAATTATTCGCCCAAATGTGGAATCCCCTGATTGGCGTTTTGTCTTTTCCGTCCTCGACAAAATTTGTAATTATGTAAAAGAGTTGAACAACAAAAAAAAAAAAAAAAAAAACAATTAAAACGACAAAAAGACAGAATCGTTATGATAAATATGACATCCAGCTGGTACGCGCAACACGAAAAAAAAAAAAAACAAGCGTCACGTGTTTAGGGAGAATAATGGTGGTTCTTCATGTTTATGTTTTCTTTTTTGCATCTTTTTTAAATTTTTCAAAAAAAGATAACAAATAAACAGGACGGCGAAATTTACAATTAAAGCCACGTAAGTGTATGTGCACACCCTGTTTACAAAAAGAAGGTGCACTTTAGTCCCTCTCACGGTAAACGGTCCCCGTCGTATTATCTGTTCCCCTTTTGCGCATCGGAGAAAACTACAAACAAACCAACAAAATGACAATGTGATATAGGGAGTGCTAAGATTGTTTCGCCGACGGAATGCGTCCTACCGAATGAACGCTGGAGGGTATTCACACAAGCGTACATTTGTGTACACGGCCGCTTTTCCTCGTCTACATATGTTGTTGAGTACCTATTAGGATGCACGCGAGGTAACCCAGACCCACTACGATGCCAATAGTAAGAGCTACAACCCTGTAAAGGGAAAAAGGAAAAGGGGCAAATTGCTTGTTAAGATCCATTTCCCCGTTTAATGCAACATCCTACTTTGTTAAGCTTTCTATTTGGGCCTCCCAATCGGATTACATCTGAGCCGTTTGAGTTGGCGGAATTATTTCCTCCGTCAGGTACTTGATGAAATGAAAAGAGGGGGAAAAAAGAAAAAAAAAGAAAAAGGCATGAATGAATAACTAAATAATGCATCTTCTTTGGCGCACTTCATTCCGTGGTGAGGACGCTCCTACCTGTGAGGTTAGTGTCACCGCTGCGGGGGGGACAACAAAAAAAAGAATGTACAAATCGACGGATGAAGAACCAAATCAGGGCTTACCATACAACGTGTACTCCGCCTTAGTCCACACACATCAACAGAGCGAAATTGGAAGTGATCCCCATTTTTGCCGCTTCCTACATGAGTATATCTCATGGCACATTTTTTCGAGGGGGGAAGACTCCCCACGTGCTTTACCTCTCAAAATGGAATACTCCAGGGAGTACCTTCGTACGTACATGTTGAAGGACTTGTTCATGGCGGTGGCAGTTCTGAAGTTGATGATCGACTGTGCGCCTAATTATGTTGCGTCAGAAGTGGAGAAAGCGTGCATGAATGAGCATCTGTATGTGCATTCGAGTGACTATTGCGATTGTGTATGCAGCGTGCACCCCTTCTCTAAAGGGGGTACTTTTGTGGTGCGCTCTTTCGTAGCCCCTAATCACCTTTTCTCCACTTCAACACAAAAGTCGCGTCTTCCTTCACAAAGAGCAGCAAAATTCCGTCGTTGCAATTTCGGTTTCCCAATTTCCAATGTTCTAGTATTTGGGAGGAGAATGTCTCGGCGCTAACTCCATAAGGCAGGCGCTCAATCAGCGCAACGCCTAATCTGTTGTGGAGAGGAAGCGAGGAGGGACGAAGGCTTGCCGGTTAATCATCTTTACGTATCCCTCGCATCCCTCACTTTTTTCCCATTTTTCCCATTTTAACATGTTCGTATTTTGCGAATGCGTGTGCCCGTTTTTTGCCCCCAAATTGGGGAAAGTAAAATTCGCGGCAAGCGCGCGGACACAAGTGGTGGCGCAACGAAAATGGAGTGCACTGCATTTACACGTAAGGGACTTCTCCTCTGTCTGCACAGTAATGGCTGGAATTGCGTCTTTGGTAGCTCAAAATTTCTGCGGTCGCGGGGGGAGAGATGCATAATTCTATTACAGCTGTGGAGGCAGCCACGGTAGCGTAAAACGCACGAACGGGTTCACATACAAGTGACAAGGTAAATGACCGCACCGCTTTTCCTCTTAGCACACCTTCGAGCTTGTCCGCCGTGCTCCGAGACAGGATTTTGTTCGGGTCGCACAGGTAGGAATAGTTCAACCCATTTCTATTACACAACGAGGGGTGGATAAAGGGGTTCGGGAAATTTTCCAGAGTTACATAAAGTGAGTATGGTGCCTTGGACAGCACATCATCCTGGTCCCATGGGGTATCGACGTTAAGGAAGGTTCTTTTCAGCTTCTCTAATAGAAGAAGAAAAAAAAAAAAAAGTGTATTGATAAGGCAAGAAATGGCAACCGTGTATGTGATGTTGTTTTGTTCACATGCCATGTAGGGCATACGATGTAGTATAATTGTTGAAGCATGTTCGTTTCTTCAATAATGCGTGCTTTTTCCTTTTCGTGTGTATTTGTTTCGTTCCTCTCACCTTTGTTCGAGTTGCTAAACACAAAGGGGGGATTCTCTATAGGAATTTTGCCCAGGGCTAATAATCCATGGAGCAAGAAGCAGAGCACGGGCAGAACGAAAAAGTTAACAGGACTCATTTTTGTGTATGTAAGGTGTAAGATATTTTTAAAAAAACACAAATGGTGAAATGAGGTTGTCTTTTTTTTTTTTTTTTTTTTTTTTTTCCGCATTCAGATAGTGCGTTTGAAGTATTCCCTTTTTTTTCCGCTATTTTGGCAGATTTGTTCTTTCCTTTTACTTCTTCCTAGTTGATCGGTCGCTGGAATCACAGAATATTTTTTTCGAGTTGATGGAAGCTTACAGGGTGCGGCGAACTCGGGGCAGGTTATCCGCACGCAGGTATTAATGTGCGTATCTATGCCTTTCTCCCATGTAGCCTCTTAGAATGTTATGTTATATCGTGTTCATTTACTTTATTTTTATTTTATTTATATATTTTTTTTTCCCCCCTCTGACGTGTATCTACACAAACACCGCGAGGGTCCCTCTTTGTGCAAAATCATTTGGCCATTTTGTAACTGTTTCAAGTTTTTTAAAAAGGATAAAAAAAAAAAAAAGGTAACAAATTGTCTACACATGAGTGCTAACAAATGGAAGGCACTTTAAAGCGAGGTAGGAACAGGTTTAAAGGTTCACCCCAAAGATGGGCATACATAAAAAAAGGTGACCTTTTGCCCGTTATTATGTAAATTCAAATGAAGGGCAAAGACCAAACAGGGGATATAACACATTGTGATGATAACTCCTACGTGGAAAAGCACTTCGAATGGTTTAACACACCCAAAGGGGCAGTTGGCACCTTACGGGGATGATATACGTATGGCACATGATAACTCATTTGGGGCAACTTCTTTTCACTTGTACTATTTTATTACTTATTATTTTATTATGCCGCATAGTGCCTCCCCCTATTTGTTCTTCCTCCTCCTGTGGGGGTGCTTCTTCTTGCCACCCACGACAATTTTCGGGTTGGTCAAAATGGCCACCTTGCCATTTTTCAAAGTGGTCCTGTACGTCCAGTCGTTGGTGTAGTTGTCATGCAGGTTGTCTCCACTAAAGGGATCCTTTTTGCTTTTTTGAGATTCGTAAAGCTTTTTCTGGTGTGTTAAAAATTGTTTTCTGCCCCCGATGAGTAATTCGTCTTCCCTAAATATTTGCAACTTGTCTTCAAATTTTTTTTTGGCTGAATTTTTTTTTTTTGGAATACTATAAATGGTGTTTTTTATATTAACCCTAAATTGGGGGATTTTCACGACTAGCTTTTTTAAATTATTATCCACCACGACATTTACTTTTCTTAAGTTATTATTTCCACACTTGGAGCAAAACAGAACAGAAGTTTTTCTTACAAATGTGTAACATGATGTGCATATGTGTCCCCACAATTTTATTGAATTTATTTTGAATCCATCCAGTGTGATTACATTTAATCCCATCTGGTACATCACATTCTGCATGGCATAATCTGTCGTTACACATGCTACTTTGGGGGTAAATTTTTCTTCCTTGTTTACTTCTACATTTTGCGTGTCGTAGTTGTTTATATTTATCCATTGACCTCCCTCTTCGTCGTCCTCCTTCTGGTCAGCCGCCTCCGGCACTTGCACGACTTCCTCTTTGATCATTTCGCACCCGCGGATTCTTGCCCGCCCGGCGCGTGAGCCGTCTCCATCATCGCTAGCATCTGAGTCGGCCTCACTCTCGTGTATACTTTCACGTTCAGCGGCGTCACTCTCGTCCATACTTTCACGTTCAGCGGCGCTACTCCCGTCTATACCTCCCCCCTCATCGGCATCAATCTCGTCCATACTTCCATCCTCACCGGCGCTACTCCCGTCTAGCATGTTGCACCCCCCCGCGCCGCCATCTTCCCGCTTCAAATCATCCACCCCTGAGTCGGCCTTTTCCTGCTGGGCGCTGCTCGCGGTGGTCTCATCGCCCTCCCCAGTTTCTGCTTCACCCCTCATGGGGCACTTCTCCGAGTCGTTCCTTTCGCGCCTGCCCTTACCCACATAATCAAACTCCACATTGTCGTACTTATAAATGGTTTCCATGGGAGCGGCATTCAATGTGGACACATCTCCATGCATACGGTGCAACATATAAGTCAGCGCAATGACGTCTATGTCTACCTCACTCAGTGAATCGTAATCACCGGTCAATTTGGAAAAATATTTTACAAAATTCACATCCCTCTCTTCCGCCTTTGCTACAGTTAGTAGCGGCATCATGTTATTTAGTCTCTTCCTCGAATGCTCATCTTTTATTTCTTTTATAACTCCTTCTGTAAGGTAACAGTCGTAGCTTGTGAACAATATATCCTTACACTTGATGACGCTGTTCGCGTCCAGAACATATTTGTGCCTGCTCATTGTTCGTCCTGCTCTGCTATGGGTTGCACATATGCCCCACTTTTATACAAATGCACGGATGCGTCGCGGCCACTTGTTCTTTTCTTTCTTCACCCTTCCCACGACGTAAGGACTAAACACTGTACCCCCCGTTACTTCTCTATTTTCTGCTGGGCATACCCAACGGCGCACTTTGTTCCCGCTACCTCTTCTATTTTCTTTTCGGTTAGCTTTCTAACCAGGTTAGTATGCTTAATATGTTAAGAGGAACCACCCATACGTATGGTTAAGTCCGTGTCATGTTTCCCCGATTAGGCGTTTTTTTTTTTTTTTTTTTTTTTCCTTTTTTTCCTCAACAGCTGTTGCCCATTTGGACCGTTTCTGATGCATAAAATTGGAGAAACAACTTTTTGGAGGGTTACAAACAAGGCACAAAAAAAAAAGGGGGAAGAAAAAAAAAAAAAAAAAAAAAAAAAAAAAAAGGAAAAAAAAAAAAGGGGAAAAAAAAAAGAAACGTTATGAAAAAAAGAAAACCAGCAGGAACACGAAAAAAAAAAAAAAAAAAAAATTAAATTAAAAATGGGAGAAATACAAATGGGGAAAATAATTTCTCAGTTTTGATGGTACTATAAATTGGTTGTAAGGAAAAAAGTACATAGGGGCAAGCCGCGGTATTATTTTTTGTATATTTTTTTTTTTGTGGGCCTATTAACGGTACTCCACAGAAAAAAAAAAAATCACCTCTTTTTTATGCCCCCTTTGAAGTCACTCCAATTAACGGTGCTCGATGAAGCGTAACACGGAACAAAAAAAACATTTTTTTTAACGGGAAAAAAAAAGAACAAAAAAAATCACAAAATGGATGGACATGTATACATGCTTCCACAACGCAACGCGCAACATTCATGGACATAGATAGGCATGCCAACCACGTCGCAATTGTGTAAGCATATCCTCTCCCACGCGATTGAATGAAAAAAATATGTTACAAAAAAAAAATTGTCCTCATTTAGGATTCCTTGGGGGAAGACCAACTGGGCCACATTGTTCGTACCACCGCGTTACAACAAATAAATAAAGGCGAAGCGCCTCTACCCCCCTCATGCCGCCCCATTCTGTGACTGCATTGGGGAGTAGCCGCTCGTCGCGATTGCCGTCCGCAGTACTCTCCCCAATTTTCCCTCCCGAGACCCCCTCAAGTCAGCGTGTCCACTTCCAACAAAATCAGTGAGTGGTAATCCCCACAGGCCACATCCAGCAGCGTTGTGTTCACGATGTTTTCAGACAAGTTAAACCCCAAGGGACACTTCCTCTTGGTGTGATGATACGTGAAATAATTCCAGAGGCAAGACCTCCGTCTTTTAAACACTTTAAATTTTAATTTCACTTGTTCACAATCCAGCAATCTTGCACTTACATTTTTCTGATTCAAAAATGTGTCATTTATATTATCCACAGCTTGAAGTATCATGTTTCTGAAGAGTTTTTTTTTTCTTATGCATGTGGAGCTTTTTCGCCGTTCCTTCGCGCGGGGCTTGTTACTCTCCTGTCTGCCTTCCTTTTCGCCCTCCTTCGCGATTTCCGTCCCGTTACGCTTCTCATTATTCTCCCCATCCATGCGTTCTGCGCACATCTCCGCCTTGTTTGTCCTTCTCACGATGGAGGAAGAACCCACCACATTGTTACCGTTAGCCCGTACCACTTCTTGACCATTCGCTTGGTGGTTATTGCAGCTGCTACTACTCCTACTGCTACTCTTGAGTGAAAAATGTTTTCCATTATTTTGTGTGCTTTGCGAATTGTCCAATTCCTCTCCCGGTGTACCCCACGCACTGCTTACCTGTTTTGTTTTACCCATGGGGTAGTACTCCCCACGTTCGTCGCGCAAGGGGGATTCTTTACTTGACAAGCCTAAATGGGTTCCGCTTTGCGAATTATGTTCCTTTTTCAATTCTCCTTCGTTAGATGAACTGAACAAGCTATCCTTCTGTTCCTTGCCCGACAGGGATGTGCCTGCCCTCTCTTCTGTATTTTCCCCTCCAGGGTTTCTCCCTCGGTTGCTTCCCTCCGACTCGTTTGCGTGTGCGTTTGCGTGTGCGTGTTGTCTTCTCAGGTTGGCTCTCGCCATTGGGGAGTGTGTCTGCCGCGATGTGTGCGAAGTTTGCGGCGTTGTGTGGAAGGAGTCCCGTCCGCCGGGGTCGCCTCGATTACCATCGTCTTGGCTGCCATCCACGCGGTTGCCGCTAACATGGCTGCCCACACGACTTGTGCTATCCCTCCTCTGGCCCAAATTGAAATGGAAGATATTGTTGTTGTTGCTGCTGGCCCGCTCGCTCGACGACTGCACGTACGAGATGGACTTCCTGCTCGTGCTCCTAGACGTGGCACAGTTCGCCGAGGGCAGCTTGTACGCCGCTAAGGAACTCCTACTGGCAGCTGTTCCGTCGAGAAGCAGAGGAAACCTGTGCTGGTCGATATCATTGTACAGCAAACTACAGTTAGTAACGCTTTTTTTTATCTTCCCATGGAGCTTCTTCAAATTGAGGAGCTTATTGTTGTAGTTCATCTGGTCTGAATATTTCTTCCTCCTTGAAATATTTAAAAAATTGTGTTTTTTATTTCGTAGGAGGACCTCATTTATTAGTTTATTTTTGTGCAGGCAAATTGGAATACTCGTCTGCTTACAATTACTGGGCAGTATAATGTTATGAAAGTCAGACTTGCCAATGATAAAAATATTTCTTTCAGGAATTTTGTTTCTGAGCACGTCTAAGGAACAAATGTTGTTTATGTAATCGATTTTTTTTTTATTTAAAATGCGATTAATGGAAGGAGAGGAGGTTAAAAAAATGGCAAAATTTTTCCCCATGGCTACTTGAAATATTTGAAGTAAATCCACTCGATTCATATTGTTGTTATTGCTAAGGAGAAGTGGCTGCAGGATTTTCTTCACTTTATCAGTGGCGTTCATTTGGTCTACTCTTCCCCGTATGTGTGTGACTCCTTCATCCGCCTCTCCACAAGAAGGACCCCCTCGAGAATTATAATTGAGGTAGTAATTACTACCATGATTATACACATTACTAACATGAAGAGAGTTATTTATTAAGTATACATTTTCCATTGGGTGGGTGCCCTGACCTGCAATGTGACTTCCCCCTCCCTGTGATGGTCTGCTAATTAAATGAATGAGGTCTGCATACTTGACGTAAAAAATGTTGTCTCCTCCCCTCGTTATGACTTGGTCAGAATAATATTTCAACAAATGGGAGCTGTCATTTTGCACAAGAATGTTGTACCTGAACTTGTCTCCCACTTTTCCCCCTTCTGCAAAAATGGCACGTGTTGGTCCCCCATGAGAGTCTACACTCTTCTCATCGATGTATGTGATGGGGGCCACGAATGCCGTGTGTGTGCTGGAGGAGGTAATGCTGGAAATGTATAAGTTGCTCAAACAGGTTATCTTTGTCAAGCTGGTGATGTTCCTGTAGTACTCGCTACCTCCACAGCATGACATGACACATGAACAGTTTTTTTCTTCCTCTTTTTTTTCTTCTTCTTCCTGTGACCCTTCCTCTGGTGCTCCTTTTTTTTTCTTCTTCAAGTAGCCCCATATGTACACAGACTTGTCTTCCGTCAGACAAAGGCTATGGTACTTACCCAAACTCACTTGAAGGACACTCTTATTTTTTATCTTAACATTCCTGGGTACATTCACAAGTTTGTTGCTTTTTTTGTATCTCCCGCATTTGTCCCTATGCCCGTCTTCACTTTCCACATGTAACCTCTCCTTGGATGTAAGTTTTTTTTTTATGTGTTCTCCCCGCTTCTGTACCATTTCGCTTATCCTTTTCAAGCTCATCATACTCATATGTTTTCCCCCTCCACTGCACGCCTTGCACACCTGCGCCTCTTCCTCCCGCTCCTTCTTCTTCACCTTTTCAACAGCATAAGAATTGTCAATCTGGCCAAACTTGTTCCAGCCCCAAATCCACAACTCCCTATTTGCGTCTATAACGGCGCTGTTGTAGGCTCCACAGTTGATTGAAATAATAGGATGTGCGATATTTGCATAAGTCTTTTTTGAAGAGAAGAAAAAGGTATTCGTTCTTCCATAGCGTGGATGGCTGTCTTGCATCCCTCGTTCGACAATTACTAGTGGAAGTAGGAACGGCCTGCTCGTGTGGGACACTTTTCTGTGGTATCCATTAGGCAATCCCAACTGTGCCTTCTTGTTACACCCAAAGGTAAAAACGAACCCATCATATGTGAGTAGTAATGTGTGGAAGGATCCTAAGCTTATGTCCTTCACTTTATGCTTATGCCCGAAATGCTTCAAGGGAACTAATTTATGTATGTAAGGGGACAGCACGGTTTTTTCTGTTTTCATACGGGAAAAAAATGTCCTCTTTAAAAGAGCATCTTTTTTTTTTTTTTTTTTTTTTTTTCCCTCCTTCTTCTGATCGTCCTCATCTTCAGGACTCCGTTTCAACAATTTCAATTTCGTCTTACGATAACACGTGTGGACAGACTTGTTTGGATTAACACCGAGCTGTCCGTAGCAGTTCAGCCCCCATAGACATACAAACCCGTTTTTGCTTACCACCCCAGAGTGGTACTTGCCGCAGTTGATTACCTCTGGGTTAAAGTAGAGGTAGTCCTCCCCCTGCTTCATCCCTCCGTGTGCCAAGTGGCTGTGGCTGTTGGGGCTGTTGCTCGTGTCGACGCGATTTCTCATGTCGACCCGGTTCCTCATATCGACCCAACTTTTCATTTCCCCCTTACGCTGTATCTCTGATGGGCTGCTTTGACGGACTCCTCCCACGACGTACTCACTCGTGTTGAAAAAATCGCTATACTGGTGGATCCTCCTTTGGTAGTCCTTGTCCTTGACCTTGTCCCTTTCCTTTTCCTTGTCATATTCATTTTCAGAAAAGAAGAACCTTTTCTTTTTCTCCTCCATAACCCCTTCCTTGTACCTATTCCTCGTGAGGTAGTTTGATCCCTTGCTGAGTTTGACCCTGGCGCTGCCTGTCCTCCTGCCACCTACACTGTCCCTATTCCGGTGCAAGTGTAACTGCCCGTATGGTTCCCCCTTTACGATATGCTTGTCATTTGAAATATTTTTCTTGTTCCCTTCCTCACTACTAACACTTCTATGCTTGCTTCCACTTCCACTCGTCGTAAGTCTCTTTCCCCTCAAGTCGTTCAGGTTCCCTTTACTCGTGCTCTTCCCACCTGGTTCATCATTTTTTATTTTCTTAATTGTGGAGATGCTAAAGTCGTTTGGAAGTCTCGTTAAAATGTCGTTGTATATTTCATTTTTGCTTAGAGTGTTATTCGATTGACAATTGTAAAAAGAAGAATTATTATTTCGTCTCCTGATTTCCCTAGCGAGGTCGTTATACCTTTTACCCTTTTCCGTGGTCCCTTTCCCTTCCTCCCCATGGCCTTCTTCAACAACTGTTTCACTAAGACCATCTTTTTCACCAATCGTTTCACAACCAATGGTATCGCAACCTATCGTTTCATCTCCACCTGTGTCGAAGCCTCCGCGTCTGCTCCTCTCATTCGCAGCGTACCTCTTGCTAATCAGCACCGTGGAAAAGTCTACGATACCAATTTTGACATTCTCTTGGAACCCTAGCTGGCCAAAATTATTATTACCTAAACAGATGAGTATTTTTTTCTTTTCTGTTTCCTTGTTATGATCTGATGAATATTTTGAAATATTTGATATGACCTCCCATGCATCTTTATCCCTGGAGAATTTTTTCCTTCTGTTGTGTAGCATGGACAGCTGCTCCAGGATGCTGAATTGGGACGTGGTCTTCTTCTTGGCGTCTCCTGCGGAGGCTTCGTCCCGCGTTGCCAACTCATCGCGTGTGACTAGCCCATAGCGAGTGACGCGCTCGTCACTGACGCTATTCACCTCGACCCCCCCGCGGAAGCTTCTGTTTGCCTCTCTCTTATCCCAATTTTCCGGATCCCCCATTTCGCCGCACTTCTCCTGTGTCACTCTGGGGGGGATTATGTGACCGCTCTACATGCAAACAACACTATTTACCGTCGGCCCGGCAGCTGCAAAGTGGATATACCGTCCTCCTCCCTGCTGTGTGGCTTTTTTGTAGAGGTACGCGGTGACTAGCAAAAGATTCACCAGTGTGCAAATGCTACTAAAGGAAATTCTTTAAGGGGACGAGGAAAGACACACACAAAAGCTAACCCTACATTGCCTGCATATATATACATGTGCACCCGCTTGTGATTGTTAAAGTGGGTCAGCTGCCCCTCTCCTTTCCCCAAATAGAACAACGTGTGATCGTTGTTCCCGTAAAAATGTTTGCACAAAAAAAAAATCGTTTACTTTTAACTTTTTTAATTTACTCAGTGTCTGCAGAGGGGTGTCCCGTCCACTTGGTCTGCTGCGCCTGACTCAACTTTTTTTTTTTTTTTTTTTTTTTTTTTCGTTCTAACTCAGCCAACGTGGTGATAGGGGCACTTTTACAACGTTAGAACAGTCGCTGTTATACTTCTATCACTTGACACTTTTGCCATTTTTTTTGCAGCAACACCACGGAGGAACATTAAAAAAAAAAAAAAAATGCACTTCATTTTGTACCAAACTTTACAGTCGCCGCTTTGCCACCTCCGTCTGTTGTTGTTTTTTTTTTTTTTTTTTTTTTTTATTATTTGCCGCTCGTTAAAGGGTGTAGCAAAGAGCAACACACTTTAAAATAGTGTGCCATACAGGTCTTTTTTTTTAATCGCAAATATGTTTGTACAACTGGGGAAAACAACTCTGTTTCGGGTTTCGCAAAACGAGCGGAAAAGAATAAAAAAAAAAAAAAGAAAAAAAAAAAAATGAACAATTTTTTGTAATTTATTAAAATGGGTATACATGTGGAGGATTCACCCATTTGTGTGTAATATATTTTTTTTTCCTTCATTGTGTGGACCCCCGTGTGCAAGTACAAAAACAAAAAAAAAAGTGGAAAAATGTAACGTTGAAGGGGGTAATAAGGGATGGAGTGGACACAACATATAAGTATGCGATGCAGACGGTACATGTATCCGGTCTGACTCGAAATGGATGAACTGGTGGAGAATTCGTCTTTACCTATTTAGCGATAACTCAACTTTGGTGTTGGTCGAAAAGAACCCTTCCTCTCGTTATATGTTTATCGCCCGTTTAGAACCATGAGTAATGAGGGAACAGATCAATTACGGCCACAAGGGACGGTGTAGCCAAGATGACCACTTTAAGCTCAGCGCAGGTGGAGCCGAAAGATTGCTCCCACGAATGGTTCGTTGAAAAGGCCTTACATGTGTAGGGTTAAGGGGACGCAAAAGGGGGAATAACACCAACAGAGGACTTAACGAACACAGGAACAATAATTGCTGGAGACTCTCCTGCGTCCTCACCGTCGCCCCATCACCATCTTCTTCACCGCCCTACACGGAGGCAATTGCAGAAGACACATCAAGTACACGTGCGTTATATTTGGAGGGAAGAACATTTTTTCTGTTCGTTCCCATCTGCACCGTTAACAGGAACGTGAGTGCACGGCGGGGAGGGAACAAGCCGCCAACCGTTGTACCAAAATGGCAGAGCAGGGCGGAAAAAAAAACGATTAAAAAAAAAAAAAAAAAAAAAGGTAAGCAAAAACAAAGCAGCGCAACGCAATGTAATGTAATGTAAGGAAGGCAAACCAGGCCAAAGCGGTATTACCATCACGTAGCCACGAAAATTCAGCCGCTCTTCCACAACGAAGCTTCCTCTTCCCACGAGCCTTTCCCAAAATGTCGAAAGATAAATATCAAAAACAAGGAGATGCCATTTTTGCCAAATTAGAAAAAGTGGTAGGTCCTCCACGGGATGGAAAGATTTTCCATTATGATCATTTTTTCTCCACCCCACCCCTCCCCCCACGTGTGAAATTAATATACGGGAGGGGTTGAACATGCCTGCACGAAATAGTACCCTGAGCGGGAAGGAAACACGCCTACACACGTGGTAGTTGTGCGTTCCTTTCCATTTTCACCGAACAGCATCAACACAAACTAACACCTCTCCTGGTGCAGAACTCAGAGCTGCTCTCGTTGACCTATGGCGCTCTCGTGAGTCAACTCTTAAAGGACCTAGAACTGGTGGACGAAGTGAATGAGCAGTTGGAGAAAATGTAAGTGGGCCACCGCGTCCATCTGTATAAAAACGTAAATGATTTCTACGAGTTTTTTTTTTTTTTTTTTTTTTTTTTTTTTTTTTTTTTTGCCTTCTTTGCAGTGGGTAAAAGAGGTGTGTAGTAGACCATCAGATGAGTACTGCTCATTTTTTTGTTTTCATTTTTTCTACCCTTTAGGGGAAATAACATAGGCATACGACTGGTCGAGGAATTTCTGGCCAAGTCGGACATTTCGTTTTGTGAAGATTTTGAGGAGACCGTGGAGGTCATAGCAAAGGTAGCGATGCGGAGGGGCAGTAACCCAGTTACACGCACACATACTTTAAGCAGGGGGGGTTTTCCAATACATGTACGACACGAACCATATATGAGTGCATTCGGGACCCCTCCACCCCCTACACTTGTGTAAAGATATGTACATACACACTTGTCTGTCGACCTCCTCCCCATGCAGGTGGCATTCAAGATGTTCCTCGGCATCAGCGGGAACGTAACATGCGTAGACCAAGAGACGAATGTGTACTCCATAACCTTTGATCGAAACCCGCTGAGCGATTTTGTGGAGCTCCCCAAATCTCTGTCGTCCCTCAACTATTGCAGCCTGCTGTGTGGGGTCATCCGGGGAGCCCTCGAGCAGGTAAGGTCCTCGGCGCGGCTGCGCATGGGAGAAGGTGATTTGTTCTCCTTTTTTGCCTTTGTTTAATTTTTCCCCCTTTTTTTCTCCCCCCCCGCCGCAGATCCGCATAAAAGTGAACTGCTACTTTGTGAAGGACATGCTGAAGGGAGACGACTACTACGAGATGTACATTCAGCTGTTGGAGGTACGTAGGAGGAAGTTGCATGCGCGTTTTTTTTTTTTACCACAAAGGTGGTCTATAAATATAAAATGTATTCCCCCCAATGGGCCCAAAGCTTTTCTTGTATAAAACCCCCCCGGACCTACTTCGTTATTTTTTTCTCCCCCTTTTTTCCAGGTTATGAAGGAAGAAATTTTAAATGACGAAGAGTCGTGAAAAGTTAAAATTGTGAGGACTTTTTTTAAAAAAAAAAAAAAAATGCTTGATAATCTTTTGCATAAGTTAAGTCCCCATCATTGCAGAGGAAAAAAAAGACTTCACTCATTAAAAGTCGCATAAGCATTTGCACAAAAAAAGTTAAAAAAAAAAAAAAACATTTCCCCTGCGTTACTCCTGTTGCGCATTTTTTAGTTCCTCGTAACAGCTATCAAAGTAACCCTTTTTAATTTCTACCAACTTTATTATCTTAAACGGAATTAAAATATCCCCGCAGTTTCGTGTGTACGTTTGGCTACCTTCGAAAGGTGGGGAGGGAAAAGATGGCGCACCAAACAAGTGAGAATATCATTCTCAAAATTGCCACATGCACAAACATAACATGTGTGCACATGGGTGACACAGTCTTAACCGCGTCTGTTTTGTGTTGGACTTTCTCTCCCTCTATCTCCACATATACATTAAATTAAGTGCGAATGAAAGCATCACACGCTTACCTGTGTAACGCTCTTCACAGTTGGTGAGAAATAAATTGTACTTGTCCACATATGCCAGGGCTCCAAAAAACTCCCTGTTGTCATTCACCGTCACCTTGAAGTTTCGCCCATAGCAATTGTTCATAATCGTCTGAGGGGGTAAAAAAATCGCAAAAAAAAAAAAAAAAAACGCACATTGGGAAGGGGATACACAAATAGGTGTAAACAAAACTGGCGTGAAAAGCAATCTCCACCCCAATGGGCAACCCCAAATGACACAAATGAAACACATGTAAGGGAACAAACAAAACGCATCCAACGAGTAACGCTCTATGGACCATTCATGACCACTGTTATAAATGGCAGGGCAACCTGTACCTCTAGCAGCTCCCTGGACGTTTCTACATCCCCCTTCCCCTTTAGTAAATCATTTTTATTTTCGACAGGGGTTGATGAGAGGTTCATCTTTTCCAGTCGTTACTGTAGCCACAGTGGGGCGAACAAATAAAACACAAAAAAAATTTGTCATGTCATTTCCGGTTGACTACCTTGCTACAACACGTTGGAGAAGGTTAGGGCGAAAAAAAAAAAAAATAAATAAATAACCCAGCTAGCTTAAACATGACCATAAAATGTCAATCGTGTTGAGAAAAAAAAAAAAAAAAAAAAAAAAAAAGGAAAATTTTCTTTCTCCTCAACCTTCCCCATGGCATAATATTACATTACCACATACGTGCGCAAGTGTAAAGTTTTATGCAGCCGAGCTACGAAGTTTTGCGGTGCACAAAAAGATCTATACTTTCCTAATAGTACACACCCGAAAAGGCTTATGCCTGAACGACGAGAAATCATTGGTCACACGCTCCTTTTTATTTTGTCACTGGTTTGAACCTGTTCGAAGGAGAGTACAATTGGCTGATGAAACAACTTTAATGGTTTGCATGTGCAAGCTACGCACCATGGGGGAAAAAAAAAAAAATCATTCTGTCCATCATAAGTTTTTATAAGATTATGTACAAAGGCGTATATAACACTTTTTGCCTTTGTGCTGTTGGCACATTTTTGGTGAAAAGGAAATGGTCCTAATGGAGAGTACTGTCTGCCGTTATTTGATTTGGTGTTTTTTTTTTTTTTCCATTTTCTCTTTCCTTTTCGCTCCAGTTTAGTGTACCTCATTTTGGACATTCGCTTAGCCAAACGTGCGTTCCCATCTGCAATGCTTCCTTCCAACGACAGGCATACACACTGCGATGTGCTCTTGTAGAACAGCGACTTGGCGCTAACACGGTACCCCCTACACACATGTGCGCATTAACATGTGCAACTGTATGACGGTCTGCATACTTGTAAATGACACGCAGCATTATTCTGCCGCTTTTGCATGTTGCAATTTTTCACGTTTGAGAAATCACCACCCCCCATTTGAACTGACAAATGTATCTACTTGCAAACATACCAATGCGTTCACTTCACACAGGGAAAGGGTGCACAAGTATAAATAATTCCTTAACGTAGCATTTTTTTTTATTATAAGCATGTGTATGCGTCTCACCCTAGTTCCTCTTTTTGTGAAATGAAACAGCGCGAGGAAGGCATGTTCAATAAAGTCATTACACACAGGTGAAGGAAAAAAAAAAAAAAAAGAAAAAAAATTTCCGGTGAATATTTCCATATCGTAATGATCAATCAATGCATGCTTGTTGATTTTGCTTTTTTTTCAAACGACTTAATTGACTTACGCGAGTGGGCTACTGTGCCTCTCCCTTCATTTGAATATGGGGTGTTTTGCACAATATGCGATTATGCACAGGTGTGTATATGTTCACACATGCATGCATCAACTCGTTGCCTGTTCACTTGTTCGCGCTCTTTTTCTCCCCCTAGGCAGCCTACCTTTAATTATTTGTCCAAATATAAAAAAGAAAAGGAACAAGGCATAACAAGAATTACACAGGAATAATACGCATTTTAACAATGTGTGTCATTCTATTCGCAGCGGGTTCTACGCGTGTAAAAATGCTTTTATACATCCGTTGTCGTGTGTAAATGTGGCCTGCGAATTTTGTTATTGCATGAGTTGCAAAGAATGCATTCATTTGTTGATTTGTTCATTTTTTTTCACCCATTCAACCCGCTCCATTTGTGAGAAACATGCGTTATTTATAAAAGTGTAACGCATTTGTTGCCTTCACATGTGGTCCCTTTCTTTAGCCTACTCAAAGCATTAAATGTCGCTCATGTTGCTATGTCTTAAAATATGTTTCAACCACCAAAAAAAAAAAAAAAAAAAAAATGTTCAACCCAGTTTTGACAATAATATTAGGTAACTTTTTTTTTTCTTTTTTTTCCCTTTGCACTTTGTATTGTTTTTGTATAAATTATATTTGCATTTACGGGCTTTTTCATTCATTTTTAACAATTCAATATCTTGTGAATTTACCACAAGAGTAGTGTCACTACGAGTGCGCAAATATCCACGCATAACACACATGTGCGTTTATAGAGCCTTGCACGAGAGTCCCCCCCTCCTCTTAGCAATTTGTTATAATGGGGGAAAAGTTCTGAGACAGACTACTACCCAGCAATGCCCGCTCAGTCGTGCGGTGTAAATTGCACGTCGCAAATTGCAAATTGCAAGTCGCACATGTGAACATAACACTTTTGTAAATGCACACCTCTGTGTACATATAATGCACGACTTGAAGAGTCCACTGCGCAAGGAAAGGAATTGTGCCAACTGGACCAATTATGTGCGACCCACACAAACTGCAGAAACTGTGCAAACAGGAAAGGATTTGCACGCATACCTGCATTATGTAGAAATGCGTACTGAAACAGACACACGGATGATAAGCCAATGCAAACCTGTGTGAAGCAAAATCGTGCAAACTTGTAAATCTGATTCTCCCCCTAAATGTATGAATAACTTGTCTTAATTGCGAAAGTAACATGCACATGGTTTTTGAATTGCCATTCCCCCCCATACGTTTAGACATATTTGGTGCATGTTATATGAACACTCCCACTGCTTCACCACAGCAGAACGTTATTTTTTTTGCTAATGGATATATAAACATATATATATGTATATGTATACAAAACGTTATGCGCGTTTTGTTAACACATTGAATATGCGCACCCAGCTTGGCGAGTTACCGTGGGGCACCGCCTTTTTTTTAAACCCATTTAATGTCTACTGTTACGCCGTATGCTATTCATGCATTGGCGTAAATTCTCCCTTTTTTTTTTTTTTTTTCTTCTTCTTAACCGTTCATGTGTTTGGATAAGTGTGCAGCAAAACGATTTTTCCCCCCCGCCCTGTGCATTTGTCGCTTAATGAGGGAAGACCTTCAAAAAGGTTGCTAAGTACACACGGACACAGTACTTCTTTATAGCGCCTGTTCGCGATTGGCAAAGCCACGTATGTGTTTTACCGTAACAGCACGGATAGCGCTTCACAATTGCTATGCCGTGTTATAATTTTTTAAAAATTTTATTCAATTATGACGCGCGCTGGTCGTATTTGAAAAAAAACATCCGCCTCCTATACTCATTTCGTACCAACCACTCAAGAATTTATGCTCATTTTTACACATTTTTCTCATCGCACAGGAAGGCTATGGATACCGCCCGCTTTTCCCAGCAGGGGTGTACATATGCATATGCCTACTGCGCAGTGAGCAAAAACTGCCTGAACAAGTCAGCTATACTTATAAGTAGCCAATTTATTTAAAAAAAAAAAAAAAAAAAAAACAGCCAAAACAGCTAAAACGTAATGTTACTTTATTTTACTTATCGCCTTCCCGTGCATTCATTTGTGCATCTACCTTTTCGTAACATTGTTATAACCATGCAGAGAGTGCCCCTTCCGAGAAGAGTTGTGGTTTGCCACCTTTTTCTAAAAATAGGCATAAATGCAACATAACAGCATTGTAGGTGCATACGTATAAATATTTACTATCATATGTACATATATATATATCTACACATATGTACGAGTAATGCGTGTGAGTAACTGTGCCCGAGCAAGCATGAACAGTGTGTCTTCGTTTGCAAAATGAGCGAACGCTTATAAAAAAAACAAAAGTTCACGTTCTACATCAGGATATATGCTGCTGTTGATTTGCGGAAAGTATGAAATGACAAACGATTCACGCACATAATGCCTGTTTGGATACTTTTTACCATGGCCTACTAACACTGCTTAAACAGCGAGTCATTAAACGGTAATATGAACTATTCGTACTTTTTATTGCCCATGTGAAACTTACATATAATATAAGCGAAATTTTTTTAACTATAGGAACGCAAATTGAACAATTTAGCGCATATGCTTGCGTGAACAATACGCATTATATTATTTTTATGCTGCTATTCTTATATATACATCGTGTTTTCAACTGAAGCGGAAGTTTTTTTTACAGGTTACAGCTGTGCGCAATGTAGTGTTGGCATATATAAAAGTACGCAATGTACGTACACGCAGTAATTGTCACGTACATGTACGCAAACGTGTACAATATTACATAAAGCATTTACTATATATGTGAACATTTATTCGCCCATGTACAAAATAAATATACCCATCAAGTGAATTTTTTGGCATAAAAAAAAAAAGCGCTGTACGTACGCCGTAATACATATATATATAGTATTTATATATATATTATTATATATAGGATATATATTATGCAATATATCAGCGTAGCAATGTTCATGGCGCCCGCGCGGCAATACGACCGTCCCATATGAAAATATTTCATCATTTTGCCTGAACAAAAAAAAAAAAAACAAGATGCAGTCAATAATTTTTTTTTCTTCTTTCCTTTTGCAGAGCAATATAAAAATTCATATTTATTTTTTTTTTTTTTAAAAACAGCTTCGTTTAAAAAAAAAAGTACAAACAGAAAAAAAAAAAAAATAAATTGCTATGTTATTATTGTTATATGTATATGATTATATTTACTAAATTCATTTTTGCTAAGAAAGATTTTTAATTGTATAATTTTTTTTTTTTTAAGTTAACATTTATGTCAATAATGTGCTGATAAAATTATACAAATATATATATATATATATATATATATATATATATGTACATATCTTGTGTTAAACGAATTTAGCGAACGTACAAAATTGTATATATAATATACGTTTATACATTCACATTTTATATATGTATATGCGTATAAACGTACAGAGTGTAGCCATATATGATAAACGAACAAAACGCACAAGTTTGAGACAATTTATTAATCAGAAAACATTTTTTCAATATTTTGTTTTTTTTTTTTTTGTTTTTATTTGTATATATTTTTATGTATATATTATAATGTATGTAACAGACATGTACTTATAATGCAATCGTTGCAATCTTGTATTTCAGTCATTTATACGTACATGTACTAATCACCATCCATTTTTAATATACTCCAGTTAATTATGTATAAA